TTTTGCATAAATAGGTATCAATTTAAGGTAATTACAAATAAAAAAAAGTGAAAAGCATACTAAGAAAGGCTTTCAGTAGCTCAGAGTATTTGTGATGACAGGAAATCTTAATAAAACCATTACAAAACAAAAAAACCCCTACTCTCCTACTTGTTTAAAGGTAAATTCATTTGCAGTTTTAGCAGCATAAGGTTTCAAAATGCTATTCTCAGGCAGAGGCTTAATATTCCTCACCATGAATGAATCAAAGTGTGAAATTCAACAAGAGTTTAGTTTTGTTATAATCTAATACCATCACATTTCCACAGAATTTGATATAGAGACTATTGCTCTGAATGACAGAAAATCATTAACTGAAGAAAATAATTAATACACCATAGATAAATTCTTTTGTGCACCTCGCTGATACTATATTTTACTATATTATCTGACTATACCACTCATCCAACATAAACAAATTCTCCACATCACCAAATACACTTCAACTTGAGAAGCAGTGTTCTTCCAAATGTTGCAGAGTATCCACAAAGAGGCTTATGACCAATATTGTAAAAACAGTGCCCAAATTATTCTTTAAGGAAATATTCTTTGGATCTATAGCAAGATTTCTTTCCTAGTAATATTTCACTTTGTTTCCAAAATATTTTGATATGAAAAAAGCTCCTGAAAACACCTGGCTGTTTCTTCAGCTAAAAAAAACTTAGATGCAGAAATGTTTGATTTGATTTTACATTTTGAAAGCTGTTTAAAACAGCACAAGTGCTCAATGCATCTTTTCTCCTAATGTCAACAGACTGTTAATCTGTCAACAATTTTTTTGAGAAAAGCTTTTATCTTTGAACTTTTAAAATAAAAGTCACAGGATTTGACAGAAATACCCAGACATCCTCAGATAACGGGTCCTGGAAATGTAGCTTTCATCCTTTAAACACATTTTGAGTAATTACAACTGTGTATAGTCAAGCTCAGTAGCACAGCTGTGCAAAAAAAATAAATCAATCCAGGAGTGCAAGACTTAATACAAGCTGTCTTTAATATAATGAAACCAATCCCCACGACACAAAGGTGATGGATGGAAAAACTGGCAGAGTCAAAAGAAAGCATCTTTTTTTATTGGTCATGTTTTTTGCACTTTAGCTCAGTGAAATCACTTACCAGCTTCCAGCCAAGACAGGGAATACAGGCAGGAAGAGGCGACACTGAAGAGTTCTTGAACAAAACACTGCAATGTTTCTCTCTGTCTCAGGGAAGAAACAGTGCCTAGAACCACACAAGGAGTAGCTAAAACAGCAGCACTCATTTTCCAAACTTATTAAAATTTCCACATTTGTATGGAGGAGTTGCGAATGAAAGTCAAAATTTTCAGTTGAATACTAAGTTGGGCAAAACAATTTGAAGAAAATGAAAAAATAGTCATGCTTTGTTTTTGCTATCTATAATTAACTCCTATTTTCTTAAAAAGGGGTTTTATGCTCTCCCCGGGAATCTATCTGAGAAAAAAATGACAACCTTAATCATTTTAGGTAAAGAGGTAACTTAGTATTCTATATCATAGAAACAAATCTTTACACTTTCAACACATCTAAAGGGTTAGGTTTCACATTTTATTCTATGAAATACCAAAGCTTCACCTGCCATTTATTAGAATCAACACAGCTACAGTACTAGAAAAGTGACATGGATATAAACTATACGTCACTAGATGAGTGCCAAGTCTACAAACATACATAAAGACCAGAAGAAAAAAAGCATTCCTTCTAGAAATCAGTGTTTTATTCATGGAACACTACCTCTAAATGTCAGGATTTCTGTGTTTTCCTAACACAAAGCAATGTGATGCTTGGGACTACTTCATCAGGTCATCTCTAACTTCAGAATCAACCAATTCAACTCAACCACAATAAGATTTGGTGCAATATACACCTTATTAAAAGAATACATTAAACATGAAAGTAAATGCATAATTTTCCTAATTTTAACTACAAAGCTACTACTATCAACTTTGCATGGCATTAGAGAAACCATATACTTTTCTATTTCTTTTCAAGTACAGCTACAGTTGATGCTATCACAAAATCAAGCGATGAAGACATAAAAAGCCACCATTATAGTTGCAACCCAAAATATATACATTACAAACTACTTAATTACAGATCCCATTAAAAACTTGTCTATCTATGAACTGGACAATTGAAAGGCTGTAAGCCAGTTGTATTGAATATTTCCTTTTTTCTATTTCATTTTCTTGCTCAGCCTTTTCAGTTGTCATCTGCTGTATAACTCATTCAACCTGGACATTGGAGTAGGTAAGGATTTTCAAAGTACGTGCATGCTAGGTTTTCTATTTCTCTTTTTCTTGTCCAGTGTTGTGTGATTATCAGAAAAGTGTTTTGACTCAAAGGCAGTACACCTGATAAAAGAAAGACCCATGAGTTTGCTCAAATTAAGCAACTCATTCATGAAACACAGGAAAAGCTTCTGGAGAGACTCTAAGTGCCAGCTTTGGCTACCTCAAGTTTGCTGCCTGGTCCATGAAGAGCAGCATTGGTGCTCTGATCCTCAGCTCTCACCGTGCTGTGAACGTGATGTGAGCACGCAGTTTCCTTGGTCTGCAGCAAGAAATACTCCCACTCTTAGCCTGTTATTCTTCTTACAAGAAAACCTCCAAATAGTTGGGCATTAAACAGAGAGAGGATGAGCGTATATCCAGCCATTATCATAGCTCCTCCCTCTGCCTTCCCCAAACCTGTGATCTCACCCAGGCTTTGCTGACTGCTATAATTGTGAACCTTCAACCAAGCTTTTCAAAAAACCTTAAGCCTTGACTGCATGCAAAAAGCCAACTGTATGCTCACATTCTGTGGATACAAATTACAAACCCTAAGACTGAACAGAAGATATAATGTGTATCTTTCAGGTACTGTATCTATTATTTTTTAACATTGTCTGCCTTTCAGGTCTGTGTAAAAGCAGTGATACAGACATCAGACTCCTTCCTGCTAGAAGAGAATTCATTCACACCACAATTCTGTTCAATAACTCGAGTCTGCAGTGTTCTTTCCTCAGGATATTAATCTTTCTTAAAGCATTCTTGCTCTTCTTCACTGTTACCATCTAATAGCAGCAATTACTTCTTGTTTTGCATTATCAGATGTCACAGGTATTAAATGACATTTTTGTCATTGAATTTAAGTATCTAAAGAAGATTTTGTTTAAGAAGCAATCACTGACAAAAGGAAGCACACGAGCTCTGGTTTATATTTGCAAAGACAGATGCAGCAGATGTGCCCACAAACATAAATAGTCATTAAGGAGGTCAGAAAGCTGCATCTGCAGAGCTAACAGCACATCCCCTCAATTTGTGACTCCTGCCTAAACATAGTGACTCAGAAGCTACATTCACATGCCAACCTTCTTCCACAACACCATGCAAATGACACATTTAATACTGGAGGTAACTGAATTATCAGTCTTTAGTAGATTGGCTTGGATTTGTTATAAAGGGAACTACAATACCATCATTATATATGGGATACCATGAGTGGAAGACAAAATGGACTCCTAAGGACAATCCAGCAGAAAATAAACATTAGGATTTTTTATTATATATATGCATTCACAGTATATCTTCATCAATTGAAATTTAATCACCTTTTTACAATTTAGAGGAAAAGAAAGATTTTAGGGTAGTTAAGCCATGTATCATCAGTACCATGAAGCTAACCTATCAGCTATAATAGCTCCTATAAAATACCAGAGTGAAATTGCAATAAGCCTAGAAAATGGGCTACAAATCCCAGATATGCTCAAGCAAGCACTGAACCAAAAATAAAAATAGGTAGATAGGAAACCAAGAACTAGATAGCATTCATCTAATTCATGACCACTAACAGCAGAGATCACAGGCCAAGGTTTTAAAGCATCTTATTCAGCTCCAAATGGCAATTATTGGACAGGAACTTCAATTACAAAAACCTTGCCTCTTCAAAATGAATTAAATTTCTAGCAGGTCCTTTCTATTCTCTCCACATATAATAACTCTTACATTTCTCAGAAGCAACTTATGTTGTTTAGGCAACTTAAATCTGAAAACATTTAATGTTGTCAAACAAATATCCATTTATTGTCCTGGCCTATGTTTATTACACCTGATAAAGGATCTCAAACATGCTCTTCCAAACATTTTTCTTATAAGAAAGAAATAGACTGGGCTATAATTAATACATTTTAGCATTTAAATTTAAAAAGTCAAATTTCTCTTCTCATCATGCCCTTCTCCGAGGAAAAATTGAAAAAAAAAAATATTAGAAACTTATTTTATCCAGGTGTTAGATTGCACAGAAGTGCAAAGACAGGTGAATTTTTTCCTCCACTTATAAATACTGCTCCTAGGGCTGTAGGTACTACAAACCCCAAACATGCCATTTGTAGTGCCAGCTTTGAACAGGCTCAGTACAAAGAAATGCATGATCTCTATGGCAGGCACTTGGATAACCTGTTTTAATTTTCTTTTGTATACACCCTTTTCGCCTGACCACACAAGTGTAAACCAAACAAAAGAAAACAGGGACATATTTTCAAAACAGATTTTTGGGAAAAAATATGACCCGAATTGCGCTACAATGCATCCTGAAAGCTTTTTTATTATCAGAAAAGAAATTTATTTGATTTTCATCATAAAAGTGAAACATGTTTTCATATAGACATAAGACATATACTGAAAATAGTAACTTATACACATATATACACACAACCACACTGAAACGTTTTTCCTTTGCTTATTTCAAAACAAGTACTGAGAAACAGTATCAGATTCTTTCTTCTGCAGTGGAATGTCAGAATATTTAAAAAGAGTAAACATACACTCAGGGAGCAGTGGCAGCAAGTCTTCCAGTTCCATTATCCATCCATAATGTCAGGGAACAAGCATTAGAACAATATGCTTTTCTAAAAACCCCTCAGAACAATGCACATGAGCTTACAAAAATGGGAACACCTACCAGTGTATTCTGGTTTCCTGAAGCCTTTTTTATGTTTCTTGCTGGCATTCCATGAAGATGACTACATCTGCTCTGGAAACCTACAAAAAAATACAAGTCTGTTTAAGAATATTTTCTCGACCATAGAACCAATAAAATTCACCAATACACACCAATCTATCAATATGAACTCTGTTAAACAAAACCATTTTATTGGCAAACATTTTACTGGTGGAAACACAGAGCACAGAATGGGAACAGTAAGGGAAAGAATAAATTATCAAGAAAATTTACAATTTTGCAGCTATTCTTACTGCCATCCTGGATCGATGCACCATTGGCAGCACAAGCAGAGCATAGCAGAACTATAGTAGAAAGTGATTTTTGCATCACTTACAACTTCCTTATCACTAGGAAACATTAAATCTGGCGAATCTGCAGTGACCAAGTCCTTCAAAGCAATCCAAGTGTCTACAGAATAATCCTCACAGAAGGATTCAATACATTCAGTGTAGTAGTTTAAAAGTGATTTGACCACTACTCAGATTTGGTTTTGAATGGGAAAGAAGATCCTTGTGGCAGAGGAAGGTACAACAAAATTCTTTGGCAGCAAGCTGAGGTTTGACAGCTTCAATCTGTGGAGAAGAGTGTGTTCCTAGCTGTAAATGCAATCCAACACTGGTAGAGTTTACCATTGGTAACACTGGATCCACAGTGGTGGGAAGTACTTTAGAAATAAAGAAAAAGGGTATTTTCTAAGTTACAATCTCAATCCATGCTCCAGAAGTACCCTTCCCTCTTCTGTACAAACAACATGGCCATAAAGCAAGGCAGATGGTCACATTAGTCTTTCCAGCCTTTAAATTAATGAACTTCTATAGAATTCTATACATTACAGCAAAGGCCAGGAGCAAAATGGAACATCACGTTTCATTTGAAATAATGTTGAAAAATTCTCAATGCAAACATTGAAAGAAATAAAAACAGCAGGTCATCAAAATGAGCCATTTTGCATCTTCTGACTTTCCTAATAATTGACTTTGAGTTATTTCACTCTAACGATATCTTAAAAATTTAACAGTTCAAGGAAAACAAACAGGTTAACTCCAAGACTTGTACACATTTTACATATTTAATATAATCCACAGATATCCTTCTACTGTACCCAAGTCACTCTACAGCTTGCATTTGCTTGATTTGCTACTTACCTCTCCTCCCTGAGCGGGACATAAGAGGGAAAGTACCAGTTAAGATACTTTCAAAGACTGGGTCAGGCAATTCTCTGTCCAGTTCTGTGGAGTCTTCCTGTTCCCACCATGGAATGACCCCTGTAATTCCGCATGCTCCACCTGATTCGTTTTCATGAAACCAATCACTCTGCTCATCATCACCTGTGTGAGGGCAGGGTCCCCCAAATCACCAAAAAAGAGGGAGGAGCAGAGAAAATAAAAATCAGATGTTACCATCAATAAATACTCCGACAGGATTATTATTTCCTTCACTTTATAGCTGTATAACAATTACTCCTATATAGCAGTTTTCTTTGGAAAATGTTTCTTAATAGCATGACAAACATTGCCATCAATGAAACATCATAAAATGTAATGCTTTAAAACCAATTTACAATAGTGAAAACAATAATAAACTAGTTAATCCTTTTGGCAATAACTGTGGGGAAATCCATTTAAGTTACTGCACTTTACATATTAACAAAAAAACAAGCCTTAATCTCCTGCAGGGAATTAAAAGGTATAAAACTGAAACTGGTTCTTTGCAGCTGATAATGGTATATAATTAGCTTAATTTCATGATTTGTATGGCTAGTAAAAAGGGAAAACAATCATGAACAGATGTGACTAAATGAAGTTAATCAGATTAAGTTCATTTAGAAATAAGTTTTGAAAAAGTTGATTTTAAATGAAAAGTGACAGTACCACATGATTGAGAATTATACTGCATTATAACGCAAAGTTGGTAATTTTTACTGACAATATTTATCTATGTAGAATTTAAATACCTGGATTTAAATTAAGAAATAAGTCAGGACTGAAAATACAAGACTGAAAATTTGATCTTAAAATTAGCTCATAACCACACTGGGAACTAAAAAGAAATGTTTATGTTTGTTTTAAAACATGTTCTTTTCATACACACCATCTAGTTTCAGAAGAATAGAAAACAGCTTCAAAAGACATGGGAAATTTTCTTTCCTCTACCCAAAACTTAGATTAGGTATGTGCTATACATTTTATTCTACTTCAAACTATCCAACCATGCTTCATTATTTCTGCACATAAATTATTTGTTTGTCATTTCCATTTTTATTTGGAAATAAATTAAGCAAGATTGCAAAATTAAGCAAGATTAAGCAAAATGTAAGATTTGTGAGACACAGATTTCAAGACTAAAAATGCACTTGTGCAAAGTTTCACTGTCACTCAATGCCATAGTGGGGAAATACAAATGATGAAAACCAAAGCCAAAATTTCATGAAAAATAAAATCCAACATACTTTCTCCAAACAAAGTGTTCCAATGTAAATAATATTTGAAATCAAGCACAACTGAAAATGACTGTAAACATTCAATCAGAACAAGTAATTCTAGAAAATATAGAACAATTAAAGGCCTTCACTGGCCACTTGCAGGGGAAATGGGATCCTTACACCTTTAATGATGACTACTAAAAGCAAAATTAGCAGAGGCTACAGAACAGGAACTTTTAGATGGAAGAAGGTGAAAAGAAAGGTGAGAAGAGATACATAGGTCAAAAAAAGATTTAAATTTCTTTGCATTCCTGAAGCATTTCTACCTGCTCTCCCTATTCACTCTAATCCTCATTTATAGGTATGACATTTCACAGAGGCATTCACCATTAATTCCATCCTCATTTTGTTACAGCCAGGTATGGGCTTTTTGGAGGAACTCTAAGAATACTTAATAGGGACACTGGTGGTGGTGGAAGGAGAACCACACCTTTTAATTAGATTGGTCTGTGGTTCAGAGCTAAGGTTGAAATACTTTGTTTTGATTTTCCAAACCTTTATGTTTGGAAACACTTTCTAAACTTTTGTTTGTTAAACTTCGTCTTTCTATTTGTCATGAGAGCTTCAGATGCCTTCACGAACAAGAAATACTATCAGGAGCTCAAAAGTAGTCTTCTTACTCATAATTCATCCATGGAGATAAGCACAGAACTCTGAAGTGGGAGTCCATGATGAGTTCAGGGACAGAAGCTGTAAGAGGCAGGCAGTGCAGCCTTGGAAGAAAGCTGCAATTTCAGACTGGGGTGGTGGAATGTGCAATAAGACTAACAGCAGCTACGGAAGGAAACTGATATCTTTGCTATATGCCCAATAGCAGTTCTTGGGGGGGGGGGGGGAAATTACTTTTCCTTTTTGTGTAACAAGAATATTAGTATGTCAAACAATCTTCTGTTAAGATACCTTAATTTTTATACTATTACACACTTCCCTAAGCACTTCTTACAGCCAAAGGCAGACTTTAGATCTGAACCTCTTAAGTCTTTTTCCACATGACAGCAGCATCCAGATATACTTGGTTTTTAGCTTCCTTGTCTGTGAAATTAAACAACTCTGAATCCTCTGAATATTTTAAATCATATTATCACCTTGAGGCAAGTATAAGCCTATTACTACTATTCTTATCCAGGTGATACCACTCACAGGTATTTTGCTTATCAGTTGTTTCACCTGGAAGGGATGCCACTTTCAGAGCCAGGGAAGACCACTGCATTTAATTCGTTCCCTACCTCACAAATATAGGCAATAAAACACAGAGGCCTCCCCACTCAAAGAGTTTGGTAACCAAACATTTGGATTTTATCCTACTTTAATTTGCAGCTTTCAAAAGGCAGCACAGTATTCATAGCAAATGTGATCTTAGGAATACTAAAAGCTGAAAACAACAATTTTGACTTCCAAAGATTCACTACACTGTCCTTTCCTCTAGGATGCTGATTCAGCACAGGACTACAGCAAATTATGATATTTTTCCGAGGTACAGGAAAGGTAGAAAAACCACCAAATATTCAAAAATAGAGCCCATGCATCCTCCTAAACACATTTTAAAAATACATCAAACTTGTTTATGTGTAAGGTTAATGCTTCAAGGAATTACTTCATAGTAATTTACATTGAATTATAACTGCACTGATCAGTACAATAAAGTCAATTTGAGGCTCAGAAATGTCAACTTCAATCCTAAAATTTTCAGGCCAGTTTCTGGCTTAACACACTTTTTAAAGTTATTTTTAGGCCATCCCCTCCCTCCAATTACTGTTTCCCTAAAGTTCACTCTGTATTATGATGTCTATATATTTATGTAACTACCGCCCCCATGTTAAATTCCTTGCCTTCTTCTTTAAGAAGTTTAGAAAATTATTTTATATGAGCTTCTGGTGGTTTTCCTATGGATGAAGACCCCTTCTGCATCACTATTACTTTCATGTTCAGAAAAACTATACCTGAATCATACTTTAGCTAAAGCAGTGCAGTTTTACAACAAACTTTCCACCGCACATTAAGAGAGAGTCCTACCTCCCTTTCTGTTTTATTACAAAATGGCCAGATCAGGCTCACCAGCAGCCATTATATGTGCTTGCCTAGGACAATCACAACACACTTTGAGAGGTTACTGTGAAAAGTTTGGCATCAGCGTCCTACAAACACCACGTGATGTTGTGCTGCTCTGTTATCCACCAACCCACACAAAGAGAACAAGAGCACAGGTCTGTGAATATCCTGGGATTTCAGTGTCATTTCCAGGACCAGTGTTTCTCTTTCTAGGTTAAAAAAACCCAACTGCTAAGCTGTTATAATCATTTGGAAATATCAGGATATTCACTGTAACACATCCCAGGAGTTTCAGGAAAACAGAAACTGAAGTTACCCCTTCACAGAGGAACACTGCATCTTGCACTTTGTGCTTTCCAGAACTACCCTGACAGAAGATATACATATGAAAGATATGCTACAGAAATATTTAGGATTTCAACTACTCAGGTCATGTGCAACAGCTTCATCTTATTTCTTTTCCATCTGTGAAGACTACAAACTTATTTTCCACAACAGTTCAAACCTGGTGTGATTTCACTTTGCATTGCACACTCTAATTCTTTTCTATATGGCGAAACACAACCTGTCACCTGCAGCTACATGCAGTACAAGGTCCAAATTAGTTCCTCACTAGAATTCTTCTACTGAATCAGTACTGGGTCATCTTCATAAAGGACACAGTAATTAATATATGTTTAATGGTAAAATAATGAACAGCTATCTTTAAACGCTTAGCCACATCCACAGTGGAACTCTGACATTCTCTGACCTTCTCCAATTTTAACTGTTTAACACTTTATTAACATAATATTCCTTCCTACTTGCTTAAATCTTAAAGGACATTTCAAGTGCTGCATGCCATCATTTAAGAAGTCTTAAGTCAACTCTGAATTTCCCCAAGTGTACAAGTATAGATGAACCACGAACACACAGTATGTTTTCTCTGCTAGACCCAAGCTATAAAGCTCATTAAAGAACATCCTTGCAATTTAACTATTTCTTCACCCAAAACAGGGTATCATCCACTAGTGTCTGAACAACAATAGTTTTGTTAACAATGTGTTGAAAGCTTAACTTGTCTTTGACCTGTGCAGTGCCTTGAAACTGCAGGAGATGCTACTAGTTAGGCCTATCACAGAGTTGCTATTTTAGGCCGCAATGCATAACTAGACATTTTGGCTCAAGATTCTCTTAAAATATTCCTACACCAGGCTTGACACTGCTTATTGTTAAAGTTTTTAATAATTGCAAAACAGCCAAGCAAATACAACCTGGAACAAAAGGCAAAAAGAGGAAAAAAAAGGGAAGTCATGAGGATTTCTCATACATAAACTTCAGGTGCTGCTTAGGTCTTTCAATTACTTTGTTGGCAGATTCTTCTACCTCCATACTTAAGAGCTCGATAGAAAAAATACTGTGACTCTATCTATTAAATCTTACCCCTAAAATGCCCAATTTGAAAACCTCTGAAGAAAATACAACCCACAAAAAGTCACTTGAGGTTTAGTTAACAGTTCAGCAGCTACCCTCTTCCCTGACAGCACCATCACAAAACATTATCTTTAAGCTTTTGCTGACTAACTCTTCAGGGTTTGCAATGTTTCACAGAATAAAAACATTTGCCACACTGGGCCTGCAAAAACTGAGCATCAATTACTTCTGCCAGAAGGAATTACCACAGTGGACAGAGCACAACAAGAGAGCTGCTTGTGCCCTCTCACATGACCTAATGTAAGCACTTGGGTAACTTGGAAAAGGAGGGTAAACAAGACTGGGCTCAGACAAGGACTTCATGGGAACCAAACAACTCAAACAAAGCTGGATGACTGCAACAGAGAAAGGAAAACAGTACAGAAGTCTTAAAAAAAATGTTAGATGGTACAGCACATATTAGGAGTTGAAGAGAGGATTTTCAAGTCTCAACACTTTTCTCTTATCATAGCAATTGATGAGAATTAAAATGTATCTAGAACTATCCCAATTAAAACTACACCTGGTTTTCTTTAATGAAATTATCAAAATTGAAATTCTTCTAAGATTCTGTCCACAGAAAATTAGATACTGTAACAAAATTTATCTCCATATCCTTTCTGAAAAATTTTGGAAAATATTAAAGGTCACAAGATCAGGCACTCCAAAGTTCATAATTAAATACTCAACTATTTATTTAACTGGTCAAATGCTCCAAGAAATTGCTGCTTTAGTCACTTTCCTAGAATGTGCCCCAAAGGATGAATTTGGGAATTAATTAAAGTTTTATAGATATTATTTGTCTGCAATAAATGAGATGTGGTTCCTGATCTCAGAAACACAAAACAAACAAATGTTGCCCAGAAGAAAAGGAACCTCTTGTCCTTTGCTACCCAAACTTGCAAGTGATGGCAGGCACATCATTTAAACCAAGTATTTCACCAGGCAACATTAATCAATCTCTGGTTCTCCACTTGACTTAGCAGAAACCTGAAGTCAGAAGTGCAGAAAATTTGAACTACAAATGAGGTCAAGATGCTGATGCTCTGAACATAGATATACAGAGATGTTAAAGATTACATATAGATATAAGATATAGATATCCTGGAGGAGGGACACTGGTTAGACAGTAATTAAGTGTCTAGCTTTAAAACTACAAAATAAAACCAGCAATTTCTTCCCTTAATACATTTTCATCCTGTCCTCTTCCAGCTTTGTTTATCACACCTAGGCCTTTCCTTTGCTTCTATTAGACTGACTTTCTTCTTCCTTCATTCTTGTCAATTTAGTATGTGTCTCAGTTCAGCTATTAACTCACAGAGATAGAATAAACTCACCTCAATTAAGGAAAGTACAAATTACTAGTATTTACTTTTGGGGGGAATAAACATTATTAGAAAATCAACAATTTTGGTTTTGAAGTAGGATCTCTGATAGTACTTTCATAGAAAAGTCTCACAAAACCAAAGCTATAATGCAGATTTTAGTGTCTGAGTTCCACTGTGAAGCTAACAGTCTTCTGATCATACCCACAAAATTATTAGTTCAAAGGAGAGATTGAAAAAATGTATTGTTATGACAATATCCTTTTAAGGTTTGCTTTTACTTGTGTTTCAGAAAACATTTTCAGGTCTTATGCTTTCTGCTTGAAAATTGAAAACTGAAACAAGATTCAAATATCAGACAAAACTAAGAACTACAACTTTAACGGACCAACACTAAAAAAGGTAACACCATACCACTGAGAAAACACAGTTGGTCACTGATCCCTCCTGTTTTCTCTTCCCACAAAATATATACGAAAACCAGAAAGCAATATGTTTTCAGTCATATTATTCAAAGATTTAAATAATATACTTCAGGATTTAAGGATAAAAATATTTATAGAAATGTATCAAAAAGGTACTGGAAAAACATGTGCAATTAGGAAGTGTGATAGGTCATCTTACATATAAATGTAGAGAAGAAATGCTTTAAAAATTCCAAGTTAGAGGAAAAATTCAAATAGGGAAGTAAAAGCAAATCTGTTTGACTCATACTTAAAGACTTAATGCATTGTAGCACTGAACACAAATCAACCTAAATCAATCTAAATTTTCAAAGAGAACCTAAACTCTTAAAAAAACATGAGTTAGCACAACCAAAATCAGATACTCAGGCTGGGAGGTGCAGTTTGTGTAGCACAAGTTACCATTGAACAAGGAAGGTAACATTTCTGTTTTAAGTAGGAAAAATCCTTTCCCTACTGAAGATAACCCCAACCCCCAAAAAAACAGATGGAATGAGAAATTAAAAAAAAAAAAGAAAAAACCCCAAATGTTCCTTTAACCTAGTTTTGTGGAATGGGTCAGGATTTTATTCCTTGCACACACTCAAGTAGTCCTTGGCAAAATGTGTAAGAAAATACGCTCTGTTACCACTAACCTAAAATTTCCAACAGAAAAGCAATTCTCAAATACTTGAGAGAGTATTTTCTGTCTCATTTTTGTATCCTGTCAAAGATAGCAAGTTTCTACTCCAATACAGCATAATATAGGTAAATGTGTTGCAATAAAGACTAAAGCTGATAAAAAACCCAAACTTTTACTTCCATCCTCAACAGTTTGATCACAGAAAAACATGTGAAAGCATTACGTGTACTAAAACAAAAGTTTCAATCTTCACTGCATTTCAGATTAAAGAAATTTTTTTCAGAGGGAAGATGTTAAACAGCTCAAATCTCAGTCTTAGACTGCAGAAAAAGCAGTTTGTTTGAAATTACTTTGAAATTACTTTTCAAACAAATTAGTGAATGAAAAAGAACTATTAAAAAACTCTACCAGTTTGGAGGAAAAGAAAGAAAAAAAGCCATCTCAAAAGAATAGCATGAGAAGTAGTACTATAATCAGAGTCCTGTCAGAAAACTGGAGGAACTAGGCAATTAATATAGATGATTTTTAGGAGATGCTCAAGTTTTTAGTAACTTTATGATATTACAGGGGCTGTTTCTCAACATAGCTTTTGACTAAGTCATGTAGTCAAGACACCCTCTGTTAACATTGAAAAAAAAAAAAAACAAAACAGAAAGCAAGCTATACTTCCACTCAGTAAAACAGTAATAGAAACTGAAATACAATAATTAACCTATGAAATAACTTGTAACGCTTACAGAATTTCAACTGATGTGGTTTGAGGGGTGGAGAAGGGAAAGATTGTTTCAATACCTTGTCTTCCCTCATCATTGGTAAACAAACCAGCATCACTGCTGCTCAGACTGCTGGATTCACTGTAATAAGAGAAAGAGAGAAACAGATCAAAAGAACAATTGATCTTTCAGTCGTAAAATTTTAAGGAGACAAGGCTGTGCTCAGATTGAACTTAAGCCCAACAGAGATCGGAGAGAAAACAGGATGTTTTTTTTTTAAATCAAACTGCAAATATCCCAGTTCCATTAACTACAAAGCATATTATTTTTGGCACATAAAACCATAGGAATCTAATGGTACCCTGACAGTAAGCCAGATGTGACTGCAACGAGGTGCTGACACAATTGATGCATTTTATTATCTCCTTCCATCAAATGCTCACTGCTCCCTTCTTATACTGAGCAATTCAGCTTGATCCTGGAACACCACTGCTCAATAAAATAGGAAAAGTCTCAATCAAAAGCAGCCTAAGCCTTCCTTCAGCACATGAAATATAAGAGTCTGAAAATCAAATTACCTTTCTGAACATCATTTGCAAATATTCTGGAAAAGATACTGCTTAAGGTTTCATGATGTTCCACTCAGAGAGAACAGAAAAAGTTTCTAATAAAGGTAACCAATTAAATCAAAACAAAGGTCACCTTGAAGAAAGTAAGTATGATTCAGGATCATCAACAGCAACAAAAAAAAACAAGGCACAGTTTACTTTGCTATGACTTCCAGCATGGCCTTAAAATTAGAATGTGTGTATACAACATGCACACACATCTCTAAATGAAAAGACACGAGCAAGTATTTAGTTCTTTGCTGGATGCACATTGTTACATACAATAACCCATGTGTCCCTAAACAGTAAATCAGACTGGTCTTTTAATAACACAGATAGCACTTCCTTGAGTTTCACATGAAAGGACTTTTCTGTAAACCCTTTATTTCACTTTTTATCAAGAGAATAGCTATGTTATGGAGGTAATATTCTCACCAAAATTTTTATCACATTTTACTTAGTCTGAGATGCAGAACAACTTGAAAAAAAAAAACTCAAATACTTCAGCACAAAAATTCAAGTACATTTTATAAATACTACGGCTACTCTTGATGTGCCCATACAAGTCACTCACAAGAACTTCATGTCTGTTTACCTTTGTATACTCATTCATATTACAATTTGCATGCTGTCCTATACTTGAAAAAAAACTATTTCCAATTATTTTTATTTTTTAATACTAAGTTATTTTTATCTGTACATCAAATAACTACTACACTTGAGGAAATTATTTCCTTTTAAATTCTAATTTCTTACAAAAGCAAGTCTTGAGTTTTTTAATTTATTAATTATTCATATAAATATATGAACTATATAAAATTAATCTAATTAATATTTAATTATAAGCATATATATTTGTTTTTAGTATCTTCCTTTGGGACTCATCCCAACAAGATTTGAAACACAATATGGTAGCAGATGATACAAAGCAGTGTTTGGGATTTTTAAAGCATATATATATAGAGAGAGACATAGCTCTGTGTTTGAAGATTAAGTTGCCTTAATCTTTGCTGTATCTTATGTATCTTAGGCTTATCCAAATTCTTGATGCATAAGCAACACTCACACTATATCTTATACATAATAAAATCAGAACAGACTTCAGCACTGGCACAACTGCCCTAAGCAGAAGTAAAGCAATATGCATGCAAGGAGAATGGAACCATCTTTTGTGAGGGACACCAAGACTTGAACTTTCTAATACTGCAAGTCCTAGTAATTGCCTTTTAGCAAACATCACATCCTCACTTTATTTATAACACAGATGGCTTTACTGACCCTAGATTTCTTTGTGTATAATTTTACATCATCCTTTTAAAAGGAAACAACATCCCTTCTTCATAGATTCTTTTTGTGCACTTATTGTTTAATTGCATGCTTTAAAATAATGTCAGGAAATCCTTTCAATCCTGATATTTCAGCCAATTTCCCAACCAAAAATTCCAATTTTGAGAACAGACTCGATCCCTTTTTAAAGATATTTAAATTGTGAAAAAATTCTCACTGAAGGACTAGTCAGCACATAAAAACATAACCACTTGAAAGTTTTGAAAAAATTCTGAATAAATTTAAGAATTCAAACTAACACTGGCAGCCACAGTGTTCACTCTCCTCAGACCACAGTCACATTGGGCAGGGATTACAGCTGAGATAATTGCTAGATGGCAGTCATTTCACTGAATAAATTCAAAACCTCTGGAATTAATACATTAATAGATAAGTGCATGAAACTGCTATGATGGAATATATTTCCAGTTTTAATATAATTTTGCAGAGTATACTGCTTATTCCTTTGCTTTATAATGAGAATTCCACTCGCAGTAAAACTTCAATGAAAACAGAAAAATCCACAGACTCTTTTTAGTCCTATAAAATAGTGTGTGCAAGCAAAAATTTGGAAGAACAGCTAAGCTATCCAAAAAGCTTTCACATCCTTATTTCTGTATTTCTGGAAATAAAGAAGAAATACTTGTAATTTGCAGTTCCTATGACTAACGAGCTGCCTGGTGCCTTGTTTTTTTATGAGACATGGGAGCTTTGTGCTGTCCCCAGGATCTGACCAGCTCCTGTTTTCCCCCCAGCCACAGTGGGTGGTGCCTCCGAGCTTCACTGCTGCTTCTCTTTCGAAACAGGCAATTGTGATTTCACCTCTCTTTAGTCACTTCAAACACAAACAAGAGCCAAAGCCTGTGGGAATTAAATAGCACCCAGAACATCACACACTGCTGAATTTGGCTGAAACTGACCAAAAGTTGTACACTGAGGATAAGGATGGATAAGCTCTGATCACAAAAATCTCATTTCCAGTGCTTAAAACAATCCTCCCAGGAATTCATCTTTGGGATCATTTAGATGCTGACATTTCAAGAGTTTGAAGACTCCTCTTTCAACTTCAGAATCAAGCACTTAAAATCTGGTGTTTGGTGTTTGAACACCCACATACAGAGATAAAAGACTGCCAAAGAAGTGCCATTTAACATTTTTAATGTGCACTTCCAAAACACATTATTTTCTAATAATGTCACGTATACTCTGAAAACTTTTGACTGGTTTTAGAGCCAATCAGTTTAACTCCCTTTAAAAATTATCAGCTTTGTGGTGTTTCTAAAAAACAAACTTCTAAAAAATTTGTCCTATTTTTAAGAATTACTGAACTATTGCACTGAATACTACGGCACACATTATTGCATACAAAACAAAAGCAACTTTGTATACTTTTTATTCTTCCTCTTCCATGAAGAGCTGCTGAAGTGCAAGTGTTATCCAAGATGCTTTGTTAGCTCTTTGTATCTTGTACAATCCCATCTTCCCTTTTAAAATCTAAGCTTTCACTTTCAGCATAGACTTTTCTTAAGAGTTTGTTGGTTCTTTGAAATTCTTCCAGCTAAATGATCTCTAATAAAGGCACCATTGCATCTAAGTAAAGTTAGATTAAAACAAGTTAAAATTATGCACATACGAAATATTCTGATACAGTATCACCTAAGAGCTTTCTAGGCAGATTTCTAGCCACACCATAAAATGCAAGTTTTCTAATTCAGTGATTTCAAAGCTTTCATTCAGTAGAATGACAGACCATCTCAACTGTGTGCATAAGCAGAAAACCCTATGAAGATGAGAATGGTTTTAAAGACTATTTACTGGGGCTATATACAACAAGCATTTAGAATATGACTTGAACAAAAGCAGCATTTGGGGCAACAAAACATCAAGTATTTTGAAGAGGAAGATCAGCTTTTAAAACAATAACGTTTCTTTTGAGAAAGAAGATTCAGACTGACCTGATTAGTTTGGTTCTTGGAGTCTAAAAGAGAATATCCTTATTGAACACTCTTCTCTCCATCCAAAAATTAGCTATAGAACTTTTGAGTTGAAGAACTGCTACCCTTATAGCATAACAGAAAGTCTTTCATAAATGAGAAATGCAACAAGAATATGGACATATGAAAAGCTATGCAATGGTTCCTAGTGTGAGGGAAATTTTTAAACATCTGTCCCAGACATGGAGGAACAGATTTCAAGTATCGTCAAAGAAAAGACAAGTTTTCCAAAGGCTTTCTAACAGCACAGACTCCAACTTGCATGTCAAAGGGAGATGTCTACACTGGCTACCCTGAAGGATGAGTTCTGCTCTAGTAATTAACATGTAAGGAAAAATATTTAAGGTTTGGTATTTATTCAGCTCTTCCAGCTCCTTCTTGTTCACAGGTGAGGGACAGAACTAGTACATAACAGAAAGACTTAGGACTTTTCTGACCATAACTGGAGTTAGTCACTTACCAATGCTGCTGTTATTACAGTAACCAATCTGACTGCTCTGGTTCAAACCACTCTCTGCACCTCAATTTTATCTGTCCAGTAAGGAAAAGGCTTAACGGTTTATAGATAAATTTCTACAAAGACAAGAGATGGACACCAGTGCCATCAAGGAACTGATCAAAATAATATCTTTGAAGACGTGTCTGTCTTGCTGACACTTCTGCATTCAGAACCTGGCATGTGGAATAAACAAAACCAGCCTTACTAGGCCCGGCAGTTAACATCCCCTGTGTACAGTACAAAAATGACTTATACCTTACTGTGTTGTCAAAATAGTACTTTGGAAACAATTACCACTGTAGTATGACTGTTGTCTGGAATGGATGGATGAGGTGTACTGCCAAAGGGTCATCATTCCTCCATTTTTCTAATGGTAAGCTCAGGTGTTTCTGAACTGTAAATTGGTTTTTGCATTTCGTAAATGATGCATATCCTTGGCAACCTGCAGACTTTTTATGCCCATGACACACCAGAACATACTGTCTAAATGGTGACTAAACACTGACAACCCTTCTGACAAATAGAGATAACAATCAAAGCACCAATGTCTAGAAATTGGAAAAACACTAAATTCTTATCTGACAACTGTTACCAGTTGAAATATCTAGAAAAAACTGTATCATTCATGTGTATTTTGTCACTCTTGATCTTGAAACAATTAGAATGTATTATTTCACTAAACTGTTTTCTTGGTTATTCCTCTGCTTCATCACTATTTATTGCAGAATTCCTTAACTTGATCAGCTAATACATAAAAAATAGTAGATGTAAAAAAAATAAGAGTAACTTGTTAAAACAGATACTATTAATGCTAGAATTTAAACTCTGGAACCAACAAAAAATCTAAAGATTCTCAATACAAGGAACAGTAATAAATGCAAACAAATATTATGTAAAGTTTCTGTAAAAAGAAAAAGGAAGAATAACCTGTCACTCATGTTCTCATCTGAGCCTTTTTGCTCCTCATATTCCATTTTGTCCTTATTTGCTTGACTCACTTCTTCACTTTCTATAACTACTCCTTCATCCAAGATTTCTGGACCTTGTCGAGCTGCAGATACTTTTCTTTTCTTCACTTTGCTCTTGGAAAACTCCTGGTGCTGGTATGATTTATTGTTATTGTCCATTTCTTGATCTCTGCTGTTATCCTGCTGTTGAGTTATTGTCAGTGCATTAGAGACTTCTGACGGCAGATCTATCGCCATGCGTTTTACCTTTCTCCTCCTGCGCAAAGTTCTGTTTCCCAAACTGTCCACAGCCAAATCTGGTTCATGCCACAGAGGCCTTTTGCCTCTAATGTTATTCAAGTTTGAGGAGGGCCTACGTTTAGCAACCAACAGCTGGTCATCAGAATCGCTGAGGTCTTTCTTGGTGGCATGATTGTCCCTGTAGTCTTTGTTTGATTCCTCCAAACTGGAATCGGAGCCCTCACTCAGGCAGTGCCCAGTCTCCCAGGGGTGATGGGTGGTAAATGAACGTCTTTTCCGTCCCCTCCTTTTCCTTGCTTGCCTCTTTAGAAGACAAGACACGCTTCGAGAATGATCTCCAGTATCAGCAAAACCTCCTCTGGCTTGCTCTGAACTTTCTTCCAGTGCTGAGACCAGATCATGAACCAGCTCCTCCATAGTCCTACTGAAATGCCTATAGATTTCAAAGGGAAAAAAAACACACAAGAAAACAACAAATTAATTAAAAGTTCTAAGCATAAACTACAACAACTTCATAGGACAAAATCATTTTAGACACCTTAGGCAAAGCAGAATAATCTTTATAGGATGGCCATTGACTCTTTCGCCAAGAAACAAAACCTTGCCAACCAGTCCTACAGAATCTGAAGCACACCAGCATGTGTTTCTTTTAAAAGGTATCTTCCCAAACTTCTGTCTTGGAAAGAAAAGGCAGCCAGGGGCTTCCCCCCATTGGTTTGTGGCCCCACTATTATTGTTTGGTTTTAACTAATTTCATCACAATTATAAGATTGTCAGAGATCCCACATGGCAAGAGCATCAACAGTGAGCATTCACTCTAACTGCAGGTAAGGAACACATCTCAAATTTAAGAATGGGAAATGAAATACATAATATTCTCCTTGTATATATGTATAACAATGACTTCTGCTTAAGACTTTCATTATGGTAAAATATTTTTAAGGATGATTATCTCTTAATGTTGCCTAAATGCTAAAATGAAGTTAAGACAGCAATTCTTGGATAATATGACTTTTTTCCTACTAGCAAATAAGTCTGTCTTTCCAAATGGCTGACATCTGTTTCATTTTAAAAAAATAGCAATTCAATGAAGTTATATTGGGTTGAGAGAATACCCAACTACAGGTAATTCTAGAGTATTGAATGTAGAAGTTTCCTACCACATGTAGGCACTTGCATCCACAGAATCCCATGCTTGCATAAGGAAAAAAATTCCTAAAGATAGAGTGTCAAATTAAGGCCTTAATGTTTTGCTTCTTCCTCTTCAAATTTCACTAGCATTTAGCACATCTTTAACTCAGTATGCTTCAGTAAGTTCACCCATGCATTACATGAATGTAATTACAAAAACATTAAATGATTGCTGCTGAACTCTAATCCTTCTCTGAAGGCTGAGAACCTTCTCCATATACACAGCAATCAGACTTTCATATCAAAACATCAGAAGACCCTTTTCCTTGAGGTAAAGCAAAGAATAATTTTCATGCTTGCTACTACACTGCACAAACTGATACAATGTGGAAGACATTGTACATTCAGTAAATTATGCAGAGGACATTTAAGAGCAAGACTCTTCACTTCGTTTTACAATACAAATGGCTGGAGGAACCTATGATAACAAGTTTTCTACACATACTCAGTGGTGCTGTGGAGAAAACCTAGACAGATCACAGACAGCTTCCTTCTGCCACTTAGCACAAACTCCACCATCAAAGGTACTAATGGTGATGGGCAGTCTTAAATATTAATGGAGGAAATGAAGAACACATTTAAGAAGAAATCCAAATGCTCATGAAATATCTTACCTAAAGAAGTTACATATTCTCCTTTTAAACCATTATCAGAAATACTTACTTTAAACATTTCAATTGCAGGAACAATAAAAGCACAGAAAGTGGTAGAAATCCAAGTTTATTTTGAATTCTCGAAACAGCTGTGTCACTTGCATTATTTCCCATACCTCTTTTCCTGTCCTCATGTAACCTCTAGTCATATTATTCCCTCTTAATGTTTTCTTTGGCTCTTGGTACAGCAGAATTATACTGTCTTGTAAATGGTGAGACAGCTCTGGAAAAGTGTGACACTTTCTCCTTAATCCATTTGGTTCACAAGATGCTTAATCAGAGGCACTACCCCATGTTTCCCATGGCTGCAGCTGCAGTGGGAGGCACTCACCCCTTCAGCCCTCTTGTTAAATCCCCATGAGGACAGGCAATCCCCAGAGACGCTTGTATCAGAAGTGACATGCCCTAGAGATGTAAGGGGCTTTTCTGCACTCTTTTACAGAAGCCTTAACACCTCAACAGACAAATGGCAGCACATTTGGGTTAACTTGAGACACCAATTCCCTCAAACACCTGCCCAGCCCTTCCTGCAAAAGCCACACACTTCTGCATCTATGGCAAACTGATAGAAGTGGAGGTGCACTAAAACATGAACTTGTAGGCTTAAACCCAGATTTAACTCTCCAAATGAACAGATTTCTGCTAACCTGCCAGAATATGAACTAGCTTATAAAAAATCTCTTGCTGCCCATTCTCTTAGTCATCTTGCAGCACAAAGCAAAAGGGAAAGAGAAGACAGGGACACTAATGCCTTGCACCATAATTTATGATTTACTCCTTCAATTCAGTATCCCTAATCTGTATGGATAACTATGTCACTAAAATCAATGTAGCTCCTGGAGTGGACATACCAATTTACTTCAGATAATGGCACGACTATGGTGGTTAAAATTGCCTCAGTTCCAAAATACGTCAAGATCAAACACAACATATCCAGTTCTGAGTTTTATACCTGAATGAAACTTGCCCTGTATTCCTCCCAAAATACTGCAATATAGATGGTTTCAGATCAAAAGACAAAACTCAAGAAAAGTGAACATCCTCAAGTGTTTTGAAGTTAAGGGATAACAAGATTCTTAAATGACTCTGAACAGTAAAGGGACTTCACTTCCAGCAGACTATGACTTTGAATATTATGCATTCCTGCCATTAATCTCTTCTACTGAATACCAAGTCTCTTCACTGAAACTCCTGAATTAAGGTTTGTACAGTGACCTTATTTACCCTAAAAACTGCAGCAATGGTCCAATGTATAATATAAATGAATCATAACTGCATCACCTCCTACACAGATCAGACAAATTAATATTTTAATTATTTCAACATGCTTCCTTAGGATGATTACAAAAATTATTGATCAATTTGGGACAGTGCAAGCTTCTTTGCAATAGATTGAGAATGCAAATACAAACCACTTCAGGTTTCTATTCACATTCCACTTTCAACATGCCAGCGGTCCACATTAAAACTTCTCCTGAAAACCCAAAAAAATCTCTTTTGCTTAATTTTTTTGGTGCTCTCATTTCTCCTGCTATAATTGAAGGGAAAAAATCCCCAAAGGTAGCAGCAGCCAAGTAGATTTTAGATTAACTGTTCTATCTCCAAAAATTCAGGAGCACATTTTTATTATAGCATTATTTATCAGACAAACTCAGTTTTGAAACCAGCTGTCAAGCCTATGAAGCAATTTTAAGCATTGCTGCAGATGGGACTGTAACAAAAATACCTGCATTTGAAACAAGTTGAAAAATAACTACAAAAAGTATTGAGGACATGACCAGTGAGTATCAGCAGTGTTCAGTAAGATAAGAAATTTCAAAGGTTGTAACAATGAATGTAGAACAACATATTGAGGTACATAAAATATTAAGATGAGCCACAGTTTAGCACGACTCACATAAGGCTATAAAAATGCTGTTACAGCAACAGCCCACAGCTAGCAATAAACTGTAATGTCCTCACTTGGAGAGGATCCTACTTTACTACAAGAAAATCTAGTTTGCCTACAGTGACCTTTACATTTATCTGAAGCAATTTTAATGTAGTTCACCAAAGGCTGACCCGTTTCCTCTCTAACCCTTACCAGAATAGACCATGTAAGTTCTGTTTGCAGGGAACAGCATGACTGCTTTCAGCTGCTCCAAAACAGATCACACAGCTTCTGTTCAGTATAAATACTCAAACCAAAAATCCTAATGGAAATAATGGGCACTCACTTCTTCAGTGAAACTTAAGAATCATTTGTGTTCACCTCACACCTAAAGCACATAACAACTGAGCTCTGATTGCTTACAAAATATTTAACAAACACACACTGATGGAAAAGTTAATTTAGTCGCACAACTCTTAAGAGGCATTACATCTTGCCAAACCCACAGATGAATTTACATTTACTTTCTAGTTCTATTCCTTTTCCTGTTAAACAGGACTGGGGCTTCTTGCAGCTAAATTCATGCTGCATCTGTGCTTCATCAGTTCCAAGAAGAACCATGAGTTTTGCTTCCTTCACAAACCACCTTTGTCACAAGCTAAAAGCACAAGAGATATCAAATAGTTCCTTCAACCTTGGGATTAAAAAACCTCACTCCCAATAATCTTTTCCCTTACAGACTCTCTGATGTCTCAGCTGTACCCATGGAGTACCTTTACCTTCAGATAGGTACTAATTTGAATCCCATTTCTCCACCTCAGAAGTTATTTTCACAAAGCCCTAGAAGTACTGATTTTGAGAGCTCTGCTTTATTAATGAGTGTGACTGAAATTTGGATTGAAGAGGTGAAAGTATTTGGAAGAGAGCAGCACACGATAAATCTCACTGCTTTACTTGAAGAATTTAAATATTCAAAAAAGAGAACTATCATGGTTCTTGGGACACACAAAGGGGGAAGCAAAACAAAGCAACACAATTAAGTAAAAATTATTAAAAAGTTGGCAAGAGACTATGGTAGATTATGAAATCACTGGTAAACCTCTGTTACACAGAAGTTTATGTTTCCCTCATTCCTAGGTAACAAGATCAGGAAATTGCCTCAAGCTGCACCAGGGGAAGCTTAGAAAAATTTTATATTAGAAAAAATTTCTTCATTACAAAGAAAAAAATCAGAAAAGAATGGTCAGGTATTGAACCAAACTGCCCAGAGAAGTGGTGGAAGCACTGGTGAAAGTGTTCAAAAACCGTGTGGATGTGGCACCTGAGGACAGGGTTTAGTGGTGAATGTGGCAGTGCTGCAGTAACAGACTCTGAATCAGAGGTCTTTCCAAACTTAATGATTCTATGAGCAGAAACTGAAGCTGTGCCTAGACTATGTAAACTCCCTGTCATTAAAGAGCCATCACTAAGGGGAAGACAAAGCATCCAGTTCCACATCCACACCTAGTTATATCCTTTGGCACTATCTGCTGGACCAGCAGGTATGCAAAGCCATCCTTTCCATCCTGTATCAACCAGCACTGCAGGGCATAAGAGCTACCTGTATTTACTTGCCACACCTGGTGCAGAAACAAGACATGGAAAAGTTGGGAGGGTGTGTTTCAAATGTTTCTGGTTGTTAGAAAGGGTTAAGGTAATAATAACTAGAGTTTGTGAAGACAAACTGAGAAATAAGAAAAGGAGAGATTGAGAGGAAAGTTATTGTCTTTACAAACAATTTTATGGGTGAAGGTGTGGATGCTAACATCTCTGAAAAGGGGCTCAGTGTCTCTGCTAACTGTGGGCAGCAGGTTCCTTGCAGAGCCCAGGCAGCTCAGCCACTGAACCAAACAAGTGGGGTATGCACAAGCCTGAGTTTCTGAACGTTGGGGTAAAATAGGAGGTTCAAGGGGGGAATATGTGGTCAGCAGTTTGGGAAGGCTGTGCCTTCCTAGTGCCTCAGCCAATGGGGAAAGGAAGGGGGCAAGGGAGCTGAGGATGTAAGGAGGCTGCCCCCTCCAAAACCTCTACAAAATGCCAGGGGTGTGTGCCCCGGTGGACACATTTTATTTTTCTCTCTCTCTTTATTCGAATGAAGTTGCAGGACTCCTCTGTATCCTTTGTGGACATAAGCCTCTGGCATTTGTGGATTTTCCTGATACAAGGAAGAACCTCCTTACTGTGCAGAGCACCGAGCACTGGAACAGGCTGACAGAGAGTGTGGAGTTTCCCTCACCAGGGATATTGAAGAACCATCTGGATGCAATCCTGTGCTCTGGATGACCCAGCTTGAGCAGGGAGGTTGGACCAAATGACCACTTCTGTAATTCTGTCCTATACAATACAAAGTATTTCAGGAATGATGAAATTTTATCACCTATTATACTGCTGATCCCCCTGAAAATTAAGACCAGGCTAACTTGCAGTAATTACATCTGACTCTTCTGAAACTGCTGCTGATCTCAGAAGGCACAACAATAAATACTATCAGTCTACCCATATTAAACAGTGAAAAAGTGTTCAGTACAGAGCAATAGCAGACAGTCAGAAAGATGCTGACATGAACTACATTTAACAAGGCTCTAACACAAATGGTGGGCCAGGCTCTAACACAATTGGTCAGCCAGAAATGAGATTTGGAGCAATTTATCATGAGAGGGAGCAATTCTTGCAATCCCATTGCTGCCATTTACTGATATGCTTGCCCTTTTCAGAAGTATGACTTCATTAATTAATTACCAAGGTGCCAAACCACATGACCTGTCAAATCATGGTAATACACTAAAGCACCACAGTCATTATCAAAAGAATCAGAGTGCCCAGCAACTATCAAACTGCAAACTATTCTTAAATTGCCACGTGAACTCACAATTAAAAAAAACATTCTGCTTTGAAGGAGCTTTACCACCCAAAGTGAAAAATTTTACTCTGTGGCTGTTCTGAACCTGCTCATCTCTTTAGAATCTTAATGTTTCTAGAAAGCACAAGTTCTTAATTTTCTACATCAAATATTAGACACTGTAAAAAGTATTTTCCTGCATCCCACTCAAACAGGTGTCCTTTAACCCTTTAACAGACAGCTTCTGAAATAACTTGTGTAGAAAAATAAGAGAGCAGCTCTGAATAGTGGTCACATTTTTAATGGACAAAATTTCAATATTTTCCTCTGTAGTGAATTCCTCTGAGCAGTGTACTAGCATAAGTAATATCATTACTGTATGGTGACAATTACAGAAAAATATGCCTACACCTCATGCTGCTGAGGGCTACTCTAGAAGCCTCTGGAACTAAATTACTTTATGTAGACACAAAATAATAAAATTTGAAGACAAATGACAGGTCAAATAAATAGTGAAGACTGACAGAACACAGATATGTGTTTGGAATGTCTTGGGCAATGTTTCCAGTGTATGCAGCATTAATACTCAAAAAAACCCCAACTTGTGCCACTGGAGTATACCACATTCTCTGAAACGTTCTGAATTACACCAACAGAAGTTGTTATATTTACACCAGGCAAATTTGGATGCTTAGCAACACCAGAAAACTTGTTCTAGCAAACAATTAGCAGCTGGGCAAATAAAATGTCTCTTTGAAAGTTTTCTCACTTAGAAAAACATAGGAAAAATACCCACAGGGGAAAAAAAAGGTGGTATCAGCAAAAGATGAGGAGAAATGAAGCACTAAACCTTTCCCTCCCCCCATCCTCCCCATCCCCAGAAAAGTACAAAGAAAAAGATGAAAGGAAATCTATTTCAAGTCTATTTCAGCTGGGAAATCTACCAGCAGGTATCTGTGCAGGTAACATAGGCTCTAAAAGATGTTATCAACTTTTGCAAAAAACCCCCCAAACAAAACCCCATCACAATCCTCCTTGCTCCCATTAAATGAAACAAGAGAGAAGCTACATACACCAGTCCATACTAAATATATCACAAGATACCAAAGATTTCAGGAAAAAAATTAACTGTTTCCAGCTAGTTGTTTGGAACATCTTGCTTCCATCAAGTCTCTCCACTACCAGTCTTTATATCGGCACAGCCTAACAGAATGGAGCTTTTCTATTTTGTTACTCAGCCTTCCCTCTTTACAGTGCTACAATAAAAGAGATTATGGCTTTTGAGGTCACTATGCTAGCATAAGGAATTACATAAAACAATAAGTCTAGGAACTTCTTCTGCAGGAGAACTACCCATAGTTTCGCTGCTCGATGGCTATAGCAGCACTTGTTGATTCCTGGTTTGCAGCAGGAAAGCTTTAGAGGAGGAAACACACACCGCCCTGGATGCTCAGCTGCACACGTTGCGAGGGCTTTGGGCCTTAGAGAGTCTACCACTACTGGAAAAGCACAAACAGACAGGAAAACCCAACTTAGCTTGGGACGAAAGTTTTGATTCATCTTTCCCCCACTCTCCCTTTCTCAACAAGGCGTGGAAGTTTCTTCCCGCAGCCCGCTGCTCGCTCACAAACACGTCCAGCCGCCGCGACACGGCAGTGGCACTCCTCGGAGCCCCAGCGCCTGGTCCCCAGGGCCCGGGGCGGGCTCCATCACCTTCCCCCGGCCAAAGGGCCGCACGGGAAGGGGAAGGAGGCCCGGCCGGAGCGGGGCCCCCCTCGGCCCCACGGCCCGCCCGTGGCGCGGGGCCGGTGTCGGGACCCCGTCCGGCAGAGAGCGGCCCCGCGGCCGGGCAGGGGCGGCAGGCACGTCTGTCCCCCCCAGGGGCTTACCAGCTCTTCCTCGCCGCCTGAGCTCGGGTCGGGGTAGGTTCAGCGACCCGGAACATGAACCCGGCGCCTCCCCCGGCCGCTCCCCGAGGAGGCTGGCGCCGCTTCGCAGAGACTGGGCGAGGGGAGGCGGGCGGGGGTCGAGGGCGGGAGGGCTCGGGCCGGGCGGGGAGGGCGCGGGCGGCCGGCGCTGCCCCTCAGTCCCCCATGATGAGAGCCCGGAAGCAGCCGCAGCACCGGAGGAAGCCGGACGCGACCACCTCGCCTCTTCCCTTCCCTGGCCCGGCCGCTGCTCAGGGGCGCCGCGCTCCCTCCAGCACCCCCGGCTCGGGTCGGGTGCAGCCCCGCGGAGCGCTCGCTGCCGCCGGAGCCCTGCCCGTGCCGCGCCGCGGGGCCGCCGGCAGCAGCGACACCCCCGCGCTCGAGCGCACTGGGACGGTCCCGTTGCCATGGCGGCAGCGTCTTGCGGGCGGGAGGAGCGAGGCAGTATGGCCGCGCTGGCCCGGCTTAAGGAGAGACTGGCGGGACTCCGGGAGGAGTATTTCCTTACGAACAGGTACTCGGGCCGTGCCGGTGGTGGGGCGGGATGCACCGCCTTATGCCGGGCTGGAGCGGACGGGCCCCGCTCTCCGCCGGCAACGCGATGGAGGCCGCCCCCCTGGAAACTGTCCGGTTCTGGGCTCCTGAGTACGAGGGAGACACGGAGCTCCTGCAGAAGGTCCAGCAGAAGGCTATGAAGATGATTAAGGAACTGGAACACCCCTCTTACGGGGAAAGGCTGAGGGAGCTGGGCCTGTTGAGCCTCTAAAAGAGACGAGTGAAAGAGAACCTCGTCCGTATCTCTAAGTATGTGAAGGGAGAATGTGACGACGATGGACCGGGCTCTTCTCGGCGGTGCCAAGCAATAGGACAAATGGCAATGGGTAGAGACTGGACGCACTGCAAGTTCAATCTAAATATGAGTAACAACTTTATTGTGCAGATCACCAAGCACTGGGACAGGTTGACCACAGAGAGTGTCGAGTCTTCCTCCCTGGAAATACTGAAGAACGGTCTAGACACAATCCTGTGCCCTCTGTGGTGACCCTGTTTGAGCAGGGGGGTTGGACCAGATGACCCACTGTGGTCCCTCCCAGCCTGACCCTCTCTGTGATTATACGATTCTGTGAAACTATTTCGCTTTAAAATCCCTCCCGAGAGCACCAACCCATCGCCTTTCCCCCAATATTTCCACAGCAATCTGAGACCTGGCGCAGCGTCTTTAAGGGGCCCGTTAATACACAGAAAACATTGAATGTCCCACTCTTCCCCGCCCCACGATAATTTTGAGGGAAAAGGAGCCTCTGTAAAATCCTGAAACGCGCCGAGCCTCGCAAGTTCCGCTCTCTCCCTCCTGGGGAGCCGAGCTCCTTTCCGCGGTCCCGCCTCTGCTCCGCCCTAGAGGTGCTGCCCTTCCTTGAGCATCCCTCGAGATGCGGACCCAGCGCTGAGTCCCTGCTCTCTTGGCTCACATCTGTGACTGCGCCTGGACGTTTGTCCTCTTGAAAAGACACTACTTATTTTTTAATATTTAAATATATATATATTTATTTTTTTTAAAGTTAATTGAAAGAAATCAGATCAGATCTGTTACCCTTGTCCTCACCAACTGGGATAGTTTCTGCCAAGTTTTCTGACTCCCAGAATGGTGGTGGCCAACTTTTCCCAGACCAGGTTTTTGGAAATTGAAAGTTGTAAGACTTACTTAAATATTGCAGAGATTTGTCCCATAAATTCTTTTATTCAGCTGCACTGTTCCTGTATCTGTAATGAAAAAGCTCAAACCTAAAAAAACCCCACCAAACATGTTTAGCACAGTTGTGGTTTTTTTTCTTCACTAATTAATGAATCATTTATTTTTGAATCTAATTACAACATCATTAGCATGAATAACAAAGCTCCTGAACATCACTGAAAGTTACAGAGATCAAGTCCTGCCTGCATGTACAGTGTTGTGTTTTTCTGCTCTTTGCCTGAACTTTCACTCATACTCTTGTGGCTGTACACACAGCAGTTCACTAAACAAATGTCAGTTGCAGGAGGCTATGCTTGTTTTTCACATGTTTCAGGTTAGAAAGAGCAGTCTGAGCCAGACTTGGAAATCCATTGGAGGGCAGCATGCTTGTTGTTTGGGGATTTCTTTTTTGGCAGAGCTCTCCAAAAATGAATTGTTTCCCTTTTAAGAATGGGCTATGATCTGTTAGTTTCAGAAAATTCAGATTTGCAACTGGGAATGCAAATGAGAGCATTCAAAAAGTCCAGCAGAGCAACAAGTCTTAGTAATGTTTTTCTGATCTTAATAACATTCCTGTTGTGCTTTATGAAGAACTCTGTTTATGTGAGACGTATAAGGTGTCCTAAGCTGGCTATTTAGGGAAAGCACCTTTCCAGGGAAGAACTTCCCCAGTGATGCCACAGTGCAAGAATACCATGAGCTTGCATTTTGAGAAATACCCTTAGCATAAGGATAAGATTATACAAGTTCCATTAATTCATTCTTTTAAGTGTTACACAATTTTATCACTCTACTCATTCAAGAACCTTCTTTTATTTACTGTAGTATCTGTATGTCTTTTAAACTTTCAGTACAGCCTTTGTGAAGTATCTGTGACTCTCAAGAGCTTAATTCAAGCAGTATGACAACTGGGCAGTCTGATCAAAAGGGCAGATATCTGCTTGAGAAACTTCCACCTCAAAACACTTCTGCTGGCAAGGCAGCTGGGAGTGTTTGTGGAATTATCCTGTGAGAAAAACAACTCTGTTGTTGGTTTGCTTCTATAAACTTTACAAGGACATCTCTCTCGTCCTGGCCAGGCAAGACTGAATGGCAACTAGGAAAAATCTATCAGGGAGTAAGAGAGGAGAAGGCTTCTGCTCTTCCAGAAGACTCTTGTCACTGCCAAGTGGGTAGGGCTGGGTTTGGAGCTGGCACCTCTGACGTGCCCAGTCCCATATCCCCCTCATTTCCAAGCTGTAATTGTGGCTGCCTGTCCAGGCCCAAATCGCTCATACCCTTTTGATCAAAATAATTTTCTTCTAAGGAAAAGTATTCTGCAGGTGTCTGCTTCTTGTTGAAGACTAGGAAGCTGCGCAGGAAAGGAACAAGAAAACTCTCTTAGTTTTGAAAACTATTCAATTTTTAGGTAAAAAAACTTGTTTCCCAGAGTTTTCAGGCACTGAGAATGTCTGAAGCAGATCAGACAGTGAAAATTTGTGCCCATTTAATGTGATTGAGAGCACATGCTGCACCAGATGATATAAAATGAGTGGAGCTAATGTTTCTTGATCTCTGGTAGTAAATCTGCAATTCATTTAATTTTCTGACATATAAGGAGGATAATCCTAATTTATCAGATAAACAATAATCTTATTGGTATTTACTGAGGCAATTAATGTTGACATGAAACTTTGTTAGGAGAGCTAATTAAGAAAACTAACTAATAGTAACCTAAATGTTATTTTTTGTCAGGTAACAAAGAATTTGGTGACTATGTTCCTAATAAAAATGGGAAAGAATAAAAATCAGTGAAAATTAAAATTTAATTTTCAGTTCAAAGACTTGTCAGTTACTTACATTTTGAAACAAACAACAGAAGAATAAAAGCTAGAGGCAATCTCATAGCTGAGTTCTACCCATCAGCATTGAAACTCATAATGGTAACAGTTTCTTTCTGAACTCTCTGAAAAGTCTCCTCCAGACTGACAATACCTTTCTTTAATCTCTTTTAGTTTCATAGTCTTCCTTACATGACTTTTAGCTTTGTCACAAACACTGTAGATTCGCAATTTTATACAGTTATGTGATTTTTATTGTAACTCAGGCCTAATTATCATTAAAGCATTATCCACATATTTCACCTACAATGGAAGAAGTCCATGTTACATGCTGGCATGTATCTACGTATAGTATGGGAATAAGAAATGCCCACTCACAAAACTTACATCCACTACAAGCTGCAATATTCTTTGTTACCTGCATACTATGCAACTAATGTAAATTAAATTTTTCTGCACTAACACTGATGTAGAATTAAAAGCAAAAAACCTGGTGAAAATGATCCCAAGCTGCAACAATAAAATATATTTAGAATAATATTTTTGCTTTGGTTCTACATTACCATGCTGAGAAATATTACTACTTTTATATTTTTTCAGAGCTATAGATGAAGACAGAATAATAAAGTACAAAGCTGCTGTCAGGATCCAGCGCTGGTTTCGAGCATGCCGTGTCCGAGCCTATCTGAGGTAGTATATCAAGCCTATTGTAATCCATGTTTCAGCATTGAATTTTTCCTCAAAATTTCTCATGGTATTACTTGATTTTAATAAAATTGGAGCATTTTGGAAAAAAAAAGGCAATAACTGTTTCCCAGTTTTTCAACAGAACTAAATATATGCTGTGTCATTGTAAGAAATAACAATTTTTTGGCTTTTAGAACTGTATACAATTAAAAAGTCATGATGCTAGAAAGCACGGAAATTATCTTCAGAATAGATACACAGTATTGCTTAAGAAATCTTGTTATCAGTGGGAGAAAAAGAAGTAACTAGATGTCCCCTGGATATGCTGTTTCAGAGACATTTCATGTAGAAACATGGATTATCCTGCGTTGCAAGGGCCCACCAGTGTCTTCAAAGTCCAACTCACGGCCCTGGACAGGACAGTCCCAAGAGTCATACCATGTGCATGAGAGCAGTGTCAAAATGCTTTTTGAACTCAGGCCGAATTGGGCTGTGACTGCTTCTCTAGGAAGCCTTTCCGGTGCCCAACCACCATCTGAGTGAAAAACTTTTTCTAATATCCAACACAGATCTTCCCAACACAGCTTCAGGCCACTCCCTCCTTGTCACCTGAGAGAATCTGGTCACCTGAGAGAATCAGTGCCTGCCTCTCTGCTTCCACTTGTTGGAAGGTGTGAACTGCACTGGTCTCTCCTCAGTCTCCTTCAGGCTGAACAGAAGTGACCTTCAAGGACCTTCACCAGCTTTGTTCTGGGAAATGCTGAATCAACACTGGACTTGATCTTGGAGGTAGTTTCCAACTTTAGTGATTCCATGATTTTATAACATTGTTAGAAATTTCCTGGAAACTGTGATTGGTCCATTCTCCCAGAAAGCCTTCTTCCATTTTAATGTTATAAGCCAAGCTGGCCAAGCTCATCTGCTCAAATTTCTGTATTTTCATAAAACAGGGCGGTTGAGGAAGAGGGATTGTTACACCTTCTAGTTTGACCTCTTGCCTGTTGGAATTAATTGTACATCATCCAGACCTATTGTATGAAACCTAAAGAATTATTAGCTTAAATAGCATTTGCTACTTAATGGCCAATATTTTCCCCATAGGAAGATAGGCTGCAGTCATTATGTACACTTAGAAGAAATGTACTTAAGCTGCATGAGAGGAGGCTCAGATGAGATAATAGAAAAAAATTCAATTAAAGAATTATTAGGCATTGGAATGAGTTGCACGGGAAGATGGCAGAGTCACCATCTCCTGAAGTTCAAGATGTATCTGTATGTGGCACTTGGGAATATGATTAAGGAGTGATGATGGTGCTGTTGGGTGGACAATTGGACAAGATCCTGTTGAAGGTTTCTTCCAGCCTTGATTGATTCTATAATTCTTTGAGTGTCTCTGGTTTACTTAGAACCACAGGCTCAATGTCGCCAATTCTCAGTGTTCTGAATTATCCAAAGACTGCCTTCACTGAGTGCAGTGCAGGCTTATAAGTTTGATGTCCATAGTTAGGTGGTATGAATGATCCCTTGTACAGCTTTTTCCATTTCCCAAAGTAATGATTCAATAATTTTCTGCAAAAGCTTATGTGACATCAATTATGAACTTTTTAGTAGCAACATATATGTCTATATAAAAATTAATTAATTAAGGACAAAGTAAACATTCACAATTAAGCTAGACTAATTTTATAAAAGCAAAAAGGTGTCTAAAAGTGAAAAAGTATCTAAAAATTCAAGTGTCAGTAGGTTTTGTCAAATAGTTAAAAATGGTATAATGAAGTAGTATAATGATGTAATGGTATGTGAAAATGTTGCGTGGGACAGAAGAAATTCTGAACTGGTCAGATTTGTTGGTTAAAACCATGAAAATGAAACAATTTATTATGCAAACTAAATTTGTAAGGCTTTTTTATTGATCTTTTCTAATAGTATACGGGTAAGTTTACAGTAACCCATGTTTTCCAAAAACAAAAGTATGTGTGTGTGAATAAATATATGTATATAACGGTCTGTGTGTGTGTGCATATGTATATATGTATATATATACATGTATATGCATAAAGTATGCTTGTAGTGGTCATTTGTATGATGCATAATACACTGTATGTTATTTTTATTATCATGAAATTTTAATGGGTCTTAAGTCTGAAAAACTAATTACTTTGTTAATATGTTTCATTTTAGATATCTGAGCAAAATGGCGACTTTGATACAGAAGTGGTGGAGAGGTTATCTAAGAAGAAAAAGCTTCAAAGAAGTAGTGGAGGTAGAAAAGTACTTTTTAAAATTTTGTTTGGTTTTTTGTAGAATATGTATGAATAATTCATTTGCTCATCATGAAATTAAAAAGCTGAAACTCCATCTTTTATACACACAGACACACTCTTAACTGTACTCCAATGAAAAGCACCATTAATTTCAGCAAGCCTACACTTAACAATCAAGATAAGTCAGTGTTTAAGTGTTTGCAGCCCTGAGTGTTGGTCCCCAAACCGGCAATGAGATCTGCTCATGCAGAAGTCTGCCCACATGATACTAATTGCAGGATTGGAGTTTTACAAGATGCTCCTTCTGGTTTTTTTCTTCTTTTTCCTTTTGTTTTTCTTTTTTTGTGGCAGAACTTTTAATTTTGAAAATAAAATAAGCCAATGTGTCTACACATTGCTATTTTATGTTTTAGTGGTTTAAATTTCTTACGTAATGAACCTAGAAGTATTTGAGGTCTTGCCTTAAGACGCAAAGGAGATTGTAGTAGATATAATTCCTGTGATGGGCCTGAAGAGAGTGAATGTGTGATAGCACACAATCTAAAACGTCTCCTATAAGGTTTAGGGGACTAAGAAGAAAATAATTTAACATAAAATATGTGATTTACTTCACTAATTTATCAATTTATATTAATGTTTTACAATACTGTTAAACTTGTTAGTCATTTATTCTTGATTAATTTTGTTAAATTGCTGCTTTTAAGTCAAAACAGATGATTAAAGAAGTAAAAACAGAGATAGAATAAACCATATATTACCAACCGAAGTTCATACACCCTACTAAATGATGTTTTCAAGTATCAGGACTCGCGTACCTGAAAGATCATTTATTTTTTCCCCAAGTCTATCAATAATCTATGTAAAGATTTTCTCTCTTCCAACTTACTATCTGGATTAACTGATAAATGATGAGCCATCCTTTCAGTCTGTGGTTTTCACTCATCTTCTAAAAGTAATCCTTGAATACAGAGCAGATAGCTGCATGGTTGCATTGGGTTCTGTTTTGAAAAAAGTAGGACTTAAGCTGAATATTATTCCTGAGTATAAGGAAGGTTTGTTTAATCTAGGAAAGCTTCTGTAGAAGAGAGACATGATAATCTATATTAAAATTTGTTAATGAAAAGAAAGGATCTGTGCAGTCAGTGGGACAAGGGAAGGAAGAAATCAACGTGATCAAACAGTTTGCCTGTAATCGCAGACCTGAGAGAGCTAACATCATAAAGCTCTCCTCAGCTTTCTGTTGTTGAATATAATTCTGAGAAGTAAAATTGTCTTTAATCAATAAAGACTTATGAATATTTAGTTCTTCAAAAAGACATAACTGAAATTCTTGCCAAATCTGAAGTCTATGAAACAATGTAGGACAAAAAATTCTGCAACTTAATACACACATTCTAAATCAGATGATGAATTCATCCAGTTTCTGGATTCCAGTACTTATCCAGTGCTAGCCAGGGCTCTAGAGGAAGAGAATCTCATTAGAAAGCTTACAAATTTTACAGCAATCAGCACAGGAAATGATCTTTTCTTCTTAAACACTACATTTTGTTTTGTTTGGCCATCACTTTGATTGGAGAAGACTAAATAGAACAGCTTGATTGGAAGCTAACCTGAGAACCACACAAGTATGATATAATTCTACTCCCTTTGGACTGCTGTATTCTATGTGTTTTGGGGTGGACTTAAATATAAAGTGTGAATTAATACCTTATATTTGTTATTTTGCTATCTTTATTCAATTAACAGAATATGTAAAATGCAAAATCTCAGCATCTTAATATAATTTTCAAGTTAAAAGATCAGGCAATGCTTGCAATGAACTCTTGCTAGTAACTGTTGTAATGACTCCTGACAATGAAAGACAATGATGCATTTGGCATCCTTAAATACACTTAAATACACTGGTCACTTTAAAATTTGTCTGCTGATAGTGATTGGATTGGTATCTGCTGCCAGCAAACAAGGCAAAGCATATGCACAAAATACCCATGATTGCTTGATAATAAATCATTTTAATGATTATATTCAAAATTGTGAAATGTGAATGGTACTGATGCGGAAAATAACAAAGGCTGAGGTTCATCAGATTGGCTGTCCATATGTGCATCACCACTAGTATTTCATTTGCTTCTCCTCCAGAGCCTCTTCCTTTGATTGCTAAGAGATATATTTGGTAAAAAACCTAAAAAACCTTGCAACTATTGATGGCATTTATATGATTAAAGTTATGTGCCTTTCTATTCTAAATAAAAGTGATTTGATATAAAGCTTTGTTTCCTAATTAATCTCAAGCTAAAAGCTAAAATTAAGAAATGCTCCCCTACAGTTTTCTTAACAACTTGGTTACATTGATTGTGTTGAATTCTGAAAGTTTGCATGACCTGCAGGAAGGTATGAATTTTAGAATCAGGCAAACACCAGAACATGAAACAAACTATTCATCATTGTTTCTTTATTACTATTTTCTCAATGCCAAGGAATCATTTGCTAAAGCAAGGGGAATTGTAACATTTCATTATTATATGAAGCTGGCATGCATGATGGCCATATTTTCAGTTTACTTTGGAAGGAGATGCAGTTGAGAAAAGTGAATATTTTATGTTATGTAGTTTGGCACCACCCTAACTGATTTACCTTCAAGTCAATAACCACTTTTAAATAGTTCCAGTCCAATAGGAATTAGGCAAATACCTATTTGCTCTACAACCCCGCCAAAATACACCATGATCACATTCACAATTTAGACCATGTGTTGCTTCCTTCTCTCAACCTCGATCTCATTCTCAAACTCAGTCAGATCCCTGGTTCCTCAAATTCTTTGAATTTGTCATTTTGTATTAGCTCTTTAAAACTAAAGAAGACACTATCATTTGTAGATGATCCCCAAGTATGTTTTTAAATACACTATGAGGAAGTGTACAAAAGTTTGTGTATATAAGGCTTCAAATATGTTTTGAAAACCTACACTTAAGGTAAGCTGGTAGGAAGGCCTGTATACTAATGTCAGAATTCACGACAAAGACATCTTGGCTCAGAAGTAGAGACGGTATATGGATGATTTGGGAAAGTAATTCTTTCCAGAGAGTCAACGAGGCAGTGTCACGTTTGAATTGGCACTTAGTGAAAAATGAGGGGCAATCCATAAGCATGGGCTGAACTCCATGAAATTCCACTTAAAAATAAGAAAAGTGTCTTCTGGATAAGCAAGCCCCAGTTCTGGAATGAATCTTTTGCTTATTAGGAGAGCACATAAATGTAGACTTGTGTTGAAGCACTAAATTATGACACTAAATTATGACACATTGTTTTTGTGAATAGCAATGAACACCTTCTCTATCATTTGTAATAGTAGAACTTTCGAATCAGGATTAGAAAACAAAGGGCAAATACATTTGCAAAAGAACCTAGATGGTGACACAGCCTTTGGCTTTTGGTGCAAGAATAAAGTTGAAGGACAGTTGCATGAGCAGTTCTGCATTGGAAAGACTTGTGATTTAGAGCAAGAGTTGAGTAAACGCAGGAATGTGTAACTTCCTTCTTGTTTTGGGTGACCCTCTTAAGTGGTGGTGGGGTAAGGCCTGGATTCCTCACACCTTAGTGTGAGTGGGGTGTGCAAGATCAAACCTTGGTTGCCATTGACTGTTTTTGGAAGTAGTAGGGGGAGTTCTTCAATACTTGGCCAAGCTCAGAGTCAAAGTGGTCCCACATTGTCTCTCAGTATGGATGATATAAAGAGCATTAATGATGTAAAGTGTCCAATTTATTAAGTTCTTCAGTGAAATGGTATGCATTCAGACCTAAGTGCTCGCAGCTTTCAAATATGAGAAAAATAAACAGAAAGGTGTAAAATTGTTTCTTTTAATCACTGATGGACAGAAATCTGATGAATGTTTTTAAGCTTAGGAACATTTCAAGCTTCCATTAAAATGTATTTTATCTATTTGGTAGTGTGGTAACTCTTATGTTTCCTTCCAAAGAAAGAAAAGATGAGCTGCAACCCAAAATTGCATCAACTTAATCAAGCAGTTTAGGGATATACTTAAGCAGGCAACCATTATTTCAGCCCATTATTAGCTATCTACAGTTAATATCACTCAGTAAATACCTATGGAGAATAAAGGGGAGAGAGACAGTCCATTATTTATTCTAATTTGTACATTTGGGGTAGATTTTCCCTTGAATACATACATATATATATATATATGGATATATTTATGTGTATGTATGCACATCTACATGTACATGTGAAACTTTTTTGAACTTTAACAATTCTGCAATTTTCTTTCATATAAGAAATATCTTTTGTACTGTTTCCATCTACTAATGTAGATTGGTATGATATTAAAGTGAGCATTTAAAATGCACCTTAATTAAACTGCAGGAATTATGCCTTGCTTAATGTGATGAAGAAAGAGAATTTAAAATGAAGTAGCATCATTGTGTTCATTTGTAAATAACATATTGCAGCCAACTGTTTCTTAATTGCCCAGACTGTTGATAAATAATCCAGTCCTGCTGCTCTCCACAGACAATTTGCTTTGGATCAGACTAGGCAATTCAAATAACACTAATTACAGTGAAACCCTTTTATAGTGAATTCCTGTTTGCCATGGGGGAGAAAATCACTATATCAGGGGAAAGCACTTTTGCCTTTGATTTGTGTCTAAAACATGAGAAACACATAAAAGCTGCATGTTGTGCTAAATAAAGGACATACTCTTGCATTCAAAGTACTTATATTTTACTTTTTATGATACAATTGTGAATTATGTTCATTTTGCATTTGTAATTAGAGGGCGGAACAGATGTGAAAGCTTAGTTTAAAGTGATGTATCCATTAAAATAACCTATGCTGCCAAGTGATTGCTTAGTATAATAGGGGATTCGTTCACTATGAGAGGAATTCTACTTTATTGGAAGGAAACCAGGACTTCAGGAAATGTTTTCTATATCAGGGGATTCACTGTAACATGGTATCATTGTATTTATGATTTTATGATGTTAAAATGCATATTAAATGAAACAAAATTCCCAACGATTACTCGGGAGGCAGCTAAGTACATAACATTTAGTACAGATGGTTGGAAGGCACAATTTTGCTCCATCACTGCATCCGTATCCTTGAACGATTTCGACTGAAGACAGCATTTCTCTGAATTTTTCATTAAACCAGACATCTTGAAATATGAATTCCTTTTATGTTTCTGTGAGTTTTGGCTAAAAGAACCCCAGTGAATAAATCATACAATACTACATGTCACCAGCACTTGTGAATATTTCTGCTTTGTTATTCTACTCTCAGTAGAGCACCATTGATTATCAAACTCAGCGGAGAGCATTTTATGATCATATATCTCCATTAGCTCCTAGTTTGACTACCATAGATTTTTCTGGTTAAGCCTGCATTATGTATTAGGAAGCCTATCTCTTCAATACAAAGTTTTGTTTTATTCTCTCTTAGCCTAGAACTCTTATTATGTATTATGTATAAAGATTCTTATCTTTTATATGTAAAAATAGCAGGACTGTCTTTGTGTAACTGAAATATGTGCCATCTTTTTTTTTTTATTCACAGAGAGCATATTTTATTAAGAAGGAGAAATTCTACAATGAAATGGCTGTCAGGGTAAATATTTCTTCACTTGTTAAACAAATGAAAAGTCAATTGTGCTCCGAATTTGCTTTTAATAAAATGAGCAAAGCAGAATGATATACACTTGATTGGTATGCTGATGGCAACAGCAGGAAATAGTACATAGTTAAAAATTAAAGTTTCACTGAGTCGTCAGTGTTGTATTTGAGGTACATCTGTGTGTCTTTGCCCCATTTAAATGCCCATTGGACCTTATCATGTATGATACCAATAAAACCTCCCAACATTCTATCTGCCAGTGTTCTTACAAATGTAAGAACATTTGTTCTGCAAAAGTAGACATATATTTGCAATTCTGAAAAACTACAGGGCTTTTAAGTTTGTTGATGTAGCTGTGCTTTTTCTCTTGTTATTGTATGGCATTTGCTGTATTGGATCTCAAGAGTTAGAGAGCACAGGACAATTTCATTGCTTAAACACAGAGGTGGAATTGAACTCATTGGTGATATTAAGAGTGAATTTTGCTAGATGAAGAAGTGTATAAACAGACCTTGAACTTCAATGAATCTACAGCAAATTATGTTTGTTGTGGGTGAAACTGCAAAACATATTTAACTAGAAACAAGCTTTTTTTCCTGAACTTTGAAACTGCACTTGAACAAATATGTAAAACAAATATTGGGAAAACATAAAATAATTTTTGTGATTAAGTCTTTTTGTGTTTCTTCTTTTTTTTTTATTTTGTGATATACAACTGCATTACTTTAGAAGCCTGTATCTTTTTAAGCCAGGCACCTTACCTTTTGAATTCTACCAAATACAGGAATATGGTGACAATGGAGATTAACCCAGGGATTAACACAGGGAAACTCGTGTAGAGTAAGAAGATTCTTGGGATGGATTTTAATTTTGTGGCCTCTCTGAGTCCAGAATGACTCATAGTTAAGAGACCTGTACTCATCAGGTGTTTTACTTCGTTCTAGTTCTCTCAAATGCACAAAGTAGAATCTTACATTTGGTGCATGTTTAAGAACTGAAGGTATTTAACAGCAGTTTAATACCTCACAAATGTACCTTTTTGTTGTTGTTATAGTTCATTCCTTACTTAGATAGTTTGAAAGTATTCCTCAGTGGATAAATGCTATTTACTCATGCAGCTGAGATCAGTGAGAAAACGTAAGATGTAAGCCAGCTCTTAAAAGTTGCCTCTGTACTTCCAGAAGATATTTGAAGACCAAATTTCAGAGCTAATTATGTATTCTAGTCAAATGGAGTTTTGCATTTAGTCTTTCATTTTTAAAAGAAATTGAATGTGTTCCCATTCATTTGTAATGGAAATATAATGTTGAATCATTAGGTGATATAAATCTTCAAAGTACCATTTTTTCAGTCGTGTCCTTTTCTTTAATGGAAATTTAAATCAATAGAAAACAATAGAACAGATCTTTATTTAGTTGCAAATGTCAGAATCTGATTTTCCTCTATCTAAATCTAGTGCAGCCATATCTGCAGAGGAGACATTAAATGGTACCAGTCTGAAACACTGAATGCTTTTGTGTTTTTTTCTGTCCTGTGTTTCTTGAAGAGCTAATCAAGGTCCAATAGCAAATTTGGCCTGTTGCATTTCTGCACAGATCATGTGTGCTCAAACTTCAGGCTTCCTAAGCCAACAGTTCCTTATATTCACTCATCATGAGCTTGATTCATGATTAATATAACTCAGTGTTCTAAAAATATAACTGTGTATATTTTTCTATATAGCACTTTGTTTTGTCTCATGGTGTTACTGATATTTATTTCAGTTTATAGGCACTCTTTAGAAAGGCAGTTTCAATTTTGGCATTTGAAGTATAGAGGGCATACACATGCTCGTAGTTTTGAAGCCAGTCTACATGTCTTGTCCTTCTGGATTGCATTTGGTTGTAATCAGAGCTATCAGTTTAACCTTTTAAAATTAAATCAGAGATCTTGTTTAAATTGGTTTCAGTTTCGAGGCAAAATATGATTCTCTCTCTTAGAAAATTTAAGGTTCCTGTAAATTTTCAGCAACAAAAGTAATCCTACGGCAAAAAAAAAATTCCACGAGCAGATGGCTTTTGATATATCAAGGTTTTGCCATTTGTTTTAGTGCTTAAAATAAACATTATTTATAAGACCACTTACATTTTGATGTTACTTAATGAGGAATATGCATCATTGATTTGACTAATTTAAGAGGTCATTTAGAACTTGCCCGTTAACAAGCTGTAATCTGCTGAGCACACAATGACTTTGTTTAAAATTATCTGTTCAGTGCTGATCAATGACAATAATTGTTTTGTACCAATCACTGTTGAAACTTGCTAATTACTTTGAAGGGCATACACACACTTGTCTCTTCTTTTTCAAGAATTTTTTAAACGTTCACCTTGGAATTAAAAAGAAATGCAGTCATAACATTATACTTCTTTATAAAAGCAAACATTTAGAACTTTCAAATTGAAAATATGAGCGTCATCAGAAGGTTTTTTAAAAATGGTCTTTTCTAAAAAGATTAATCTTCAGTTTTGGGATTACTGACAAACAGTATTAGGGAAACAGAAATCAGGCATAAAATAATCTGAGACACAATGTAGTTTTTCTTACTTAGGTTTCATTCAGTTGAAATCAGTGAGTTCATTCTAAACAGAGAGTGGTGTAAATAAAGGTAAAGTGCAGCATTTAATTGGTACACTGAGCCCATTGGAGGTAATTATAGCTTTATACTATTTGAGCCTTTTGTCTTTCAGTTTGAGTTTTGATCCTTTAACCCAGAAATATCCAATTCTGCATTTATAACTGTGAGGTGAAGACTGTCAGAAAGAGTTTCAAAGGGACCATAATCCTGCATTAATGAGCACATGGCTATAAGGGAGCCAAGTTGCTCTTGTTGAGAAATTTTGAAGCCAAACAGAAAAATAAAGCTAAGATCCTTATTCACATGCAAAGGATTTTGCTTAATCCCAGATCTCTGAAGGCATACTCATTCTCTGCTCTTTCTCTATTCCTTTTTAACCCAATAAGCTTGTGTATGAGAAAGTAGTGTTGCAAAGAATATGAAATTTACTATCAACTAGTGCAAAGCAGCATGTCCAGAACCTTTCTTGTTCCCAGAACTCTTATTTGTTCACATTATAACAATATTTGTTCATATGATAACATGTTATAATAACATCTTATAATATGAACAATATGTTCATATTATAGCAATATGAATATATAACAATAGAGGTCCAAACCCCTTTCACTTAAAAAAAAAAATCCCAAAAAAGCCCAAAAACCAAAATTATAAAAACCTGAAACCAAACCAAAACAAAACAAAAAAACAAAACCAAAAAAAACCAGAAAGCCCCAGAAACAAAATGAAACAAAACAGCAACAAAAAAAAAAAACCAAAAACAATTAAAAAAACCCCAAACCAAACAAAGTCAATCATAAACAAATAACAACATGCACTTTTTAAAAAAAAACAACTTTTGAAATTCCTTTTAAGTCTTATTTGGGAAGGGAGGAAATTCCATGCTGATGCACAAAGGGGAAATTTTAACACTGGAAGTTAATATTTTGTTATTCTTAATAACTAACATGTAAAGAATTACTGAGAGCTTTTCTGTAATTCTTTTTCTCTTGTTAAATCTCGCATAAAAGGATAATTATAACTGTACCCCAAGGTGCCATCAATTGAGGCCAAATGTTGGTTTTTACTTTGAAGAATAGTGTTTGGGGGTTTGAGACTGCAAAATGGTGCCAAAGTATGAAATTTTCAGCCCTGCCATTTTAGATGGCTCCAGTAAAAGTCTGGAGGTGGAAAAATGGCGTGCTTTTGTCAGTTGTCACAGTGGTACAGAATTGGACTGTGCTAGAACTGGTAGGAGCAGAGAGAGTTTTGCCTGTTACTGAAGAGCAGTCCCAAGACTTGATGATAAATATTCTGAAATTACTGAGTGCAATGGTTACTGATAATCTGGGCAATTGGCAGCTTTTTTTAATTTGCCTTCTTCCTGAATCAAACACAAAACCCATGACATTGTTTTCCTTCCCCTTTTTATTTTTTTAAAAAAGGTGCATATTTAGAAAGAGGTAGGCTAAGAAAAAAAGCAAAATAGCACAAACATGGGTTTCACTCCACTTAAATGTCATCCCTTAGTTCTGGAAAGAGAAAGGTTGATGTAAAAAAAAAAAATGTTCCTTATAGGTACGATGTACAATGAAGTGTATAATTTCTTGAAAAGTCTGGTATCTAGGGCCTCACAGGAAAAGGAGAGCTCTTAGTACTTTGCAACATTTTACTGTTCTATGCATTCAGGTAAGGGGATGCAGATGATACTTGCTTCTGGATAGTAAAACCTCCAACTTCTTGCTTTTTAAATGTAGATTCTGCCTTTCAGCTGCTATGTCTTTTAAGATTTGAAAGCTATAAAGGTCAAAGAGGTGGATATTGTAGCAAATGAAGCTACTGCAGACTAGAAGATAGAAATTGAGATATTACAGTAGAAAAATATTGAGAAAAAAGGAGACAAAATGCAATGAAGTAAAGAATATTTTGCAGGAAAATTAGCAATAAGTTCAAGGATGGAAGGATTTAAATATGGAGGAGCTAGACCCTGAGAAGAGAGGAAAAGATGGTTAGTCTGCTCCACCACCTCCTTGGGCAGCCCATTCCAATGCTTAATTGTCCATTCTTAATGCTCACTTTGCCATGCCAAAAAGCAGATAGCAGGTAAACAGGTAATGATTTCAGAAACATCATGATTAGAATTTTCAAGTATCAGAAGGTTTAAAAACATTTAAACCTTCAGTTTAAATCTGTTCTTGGGGAGAGTTGGGTAGACTAAGTATTTTTTTCTCCTCTTTTATTTTTCTTTGTCCTTTTTTTTTTTTCCAAATGATGCTTTTCAAAATGCACCAAAATATTAACCCTTTTTGTTGGAGGATGCTGTCTAATTTCTATTCATAATGCTACTTTATAACTAGCTACAGATAAAGATCTTTTCTTCCCCAGGTTAGGCTTTCTCTAGGTTAGGCTTTTTCTGTTATGCAAGAGAATAGTATTTCTTGAGAAGAATGAAACTAATGTGGAACAAATAGACATGAATAATTTTTGACTGGAGATGAAAGAACTGCAATTTATGAACTTTCCAGAAAGTCTGATTCATTGAGTTCCTGGGAAGGCTTTTATTCAGTTTAGACCTTTGCAGAGCACGAAGGTGAAAGTGTAGCAGTATATGTTGGTAAAGGGGTGACTCAGTGCTACAATATGTTACGACCTACACTAATTTCTTCATTGAAATTTATCAGTGTTTCCACTTGGTATCACTTTTAAGGAAAGAGGTACTTGGGATCTAGTACATATATCTGATATGTATGCAAAATTTTGATTTGAAATATACTAAGAAGTATTTATTTCCTCCAGATCCAGAAAACGTGGCGAGGCTATTATGTTCGGAAGTATATCCATAATTTTTATGCACTGAAGAAATACCTGGATGCTGTTTCTGTGAATAATGAGCTTGTCAGGTAAAGATAAAAGCTCCGTGTGGTAAAGCATTCATTTACTATTCTTTTATTTGCAGAAAGTTTGCGTCACTAATTAAACTACTTCTTTGAGTGTAGGTTCCCCTCCATTATCAAATATATTTATGAGTTATCATTCTCTTTATCCTATGCCTATTCATGTTGCACCACATTCTGTGCTCATTTACACTATTATGAATTCAGAATAATTTCTTTGAATTCATTAGGTGTGTTCTGGGTTTGTACTAGTTTAAGAAAAATAGATTTGGCTCTTCAGCTATGCTCAGAACTTGTAGTTATTATGCCTTAAATAGGGTTTGTTGAACTAGATTTTTTTTTCCCCAGTACACACAACCTAACCAAAATTTTCTTTTTATAATTTGTTTTGAATATGGATTATTGACAATGAATGCAAGGGAAAATTTGGATTTAAGTTTCATGTGCGAGCCATGCTATGAATATTAATTGGGAAAGATACTGGTGTGGATACAATAAAGCAGATCCTTTTCATAGTTACAGAAGAGAACCAATAGCTTGTCAGGTTTCTGTCTAGAACTTTTCTTACTCTATGTTCTTACTCTATTTCTCCTGTACATCTCTTGTCTTTCCCTGTACTTAAGCTGAAACCTCTCTAAAATAGAGGTAATTATTTCCCTCTAATGGATTTGATATCTGGATCCATGACCATTACTCAGATAACAGTGCAAACAAACAGATGAAATGCTGGGTGACCAAGATCATTACTCTCTCAGTGTAAATGAAAGCTGTTGGACAAAATCCATGCAGGGTTTGCCATTCAGAACATCTCAGACAAACCTTTGCTTTCTCAAGCACAGAAATATAAGAGAGTCTAGTAAACCAGTATTTCTAGAAATCTTGTCTAATCACATGGCAAAGACTGCTACATAGAGCAGCATATGCAAGTTATACATGAAAAAACCCAGGATTATCAAGCTTCTTTTATACTGTTTAATAAGTATATTATTCTTCCAAAGTACAGCTGGTTCTCCATCCTCTTTTTCATAACATTATTTCTTGTGCATTCCATTGTCACCTATAATGAACCATACTGATAGTCACCAACCTGTGATCTCTCATTATTATTCATTTAAGTGTATTCTGTGCAGAAAGCTAGGTCACAACTCAGCAAAGCCAGACTTAAACATTCTGTTATATCTTCAATGGTGTCTTGATCTGAAATCCTTGAAATATTCTCTCTTCTTGAAAAGGTAGAATCCTAGGAAGACTAGACTAAATCTTGGAAAATAAGTGAAGCCATAACTTCTCTGGTTTAAAATCCGTATCACTGGATGAACTGCAAAAAGAGAATCTGTTTCTCTGTTCATAATCCTTCTATCACTCTTCATTCCCTGCCTAAACCTAGACCATGGCTCATAACTTGTCACTTAGATGGACCTTTGATGTGTGCCAACAAAACAAGATAGCAAGTGGTATTCCTGCTTCACTGTGAACATGGATTGGTTGGAGCTTTGTATTTTATTTCCCCACACCCACTATAGATCTCTTCTGGGTATACCTTACTTTGGAAGACTACAAAAATATTTGGTTTTCAGTATTTTGACATGTGGATCAAATTCCCTAGTATTTAGTTGAGGTTAAAAACCATTGAAAACCATAAAGCTTATGCACTGCATAGATATTTTAACCAAGAAATACTTTTGTGCTCTTTAACAGGTAAGATGAGCAGTATGACTTCAGGTACATCAAAATATGTCAAAGTTGGTCTGTGTGAGCTCTTATCTGGCAACTGATATATTGATATTTTGCTAATTTGAGTCCTATATTCCAGAGTTCACAGAAATACGTGTCTTTCAGGTGAAAAAAAATCCATCTTTTCAGTTTAAAAAAGTTAAAAATTAATTGTTGAGCTAATTTGGACAAATGGATCTTATTATTGTCTCAATTTTTAAAACGCACGAGTTGCCAAGTGCAATCAAGAATCACCGCAGTAATCCCTTTACTGGGGTACATTTGAAAACTAATATGTATATCACCTTCAACATTCTTCTTATGAAATCTAACAGATGTTTAGTGAGGATTAGGTGTAGGCCCTCAGCCAAACAGATTTTTCCTGTCATTGGGCTAAGTTGCTGCCAACTACTTTAGCCCCAAGGTGGCCCACTGTGTTTCTTATGTGAATGTTGAGCCAGGTGGAGGAAAGATTCTCCTCATATTTTCATTAGCCATCACATTGTGTCTGGACAAGTATAACCTCACTGTTCCTAAACATTTTTGCATATAAAAATTATTAGAACTGTGCATTGTAAAAAACACTAAGAATTGTCAAATATAGAAGGAATGTATTTATGAAATGACTGGGTTTTATTAAAATATCAACATTATGGAAATTTACTTGTTGATGGACAGAGAGATTGATACACTTGTGCACTCAGATTAGACTGCCTTTGAGTGTTTCACATCTCCAGAACTCCATAAAGCAGCACAATGTGGAACATGACATAATGCCCATGAATACATGAAACTGGCCCCTGTCTCTCACACAAAGAAAGCATATTTTTAATTTCAAAAATTTGTTTACAATTTGTTCTTTCTAGAATTATAATGTAATTTTTAGTTGAACTACACTGTACAGTTCTCTGTCTTATCTATTCTAGAGTAACACTGGAAGAATTTTTATATGTTAACACCTATCTAAAATCATATTGCAAGTCCTTCCAACTTTTGAACTCCAGAGCCAGGATTTGTACCTAATTTTCTCCTTTTTCATTAAGGACGAGCCTATCTCAAATCATCCCTCACTCATTTCTAAGAGAGACTTTGGAGGAGGTTCTCATGAAACTATGGACATTCTGTTAAGTTTCTTGTGAGAATAAGAGTTATTGACCAAAGTTTGTTTTCTTCTCATTCCTTCTTTACGCTATTTTTTATTAAATAAAGGACACTTGTTGTACTAAGTGGTTTTCTCAACCAGTAGCCACATCTTTACCATTCAGCTTTAATACAAACTGTCCTTATTTAATAGCCGCCCTCATTTAGTAGCCAGACCTTTATCATTTGTCTTTAGTGTGAAAACCCCAGGAGAAAGTAAACTTAATAGAAGCTGCCCCAGTTTAAAGCCATAGAGGAATGTAATTAAGTTTAACAGAAATTGATTTAACAGAAATTGACCGAAAATATAATTAAATAATAATAGTCATATTATGTGTGAGTTTCCACTCACTTAACAGACTGGTTATGGCACTGTTGGACTTAACAGACACAAGGCACTGCCTTTGTACAAACTGAAGATAACCCTCGGCTTTAACTCCCAGATTGGCTAAATTCCTCCAGCATTCCTATTACTTCCCACTGCTACAGAACCACTAGGTCTGACAGGTGCTGCGTACCCAGTAAAGTCCCTAGGAGTTATGTTGAGAAGAGCTTGAAAGAATCCCTTCAGAGATGAAAAAGAACAAATCTGAACCCTAAACTCTGTCTACATAAGGACATACTCAGATTCTAACATTTGTACAGTTTAGGTTCAGTGTAGTGGCAAAATTAGTCCTGAGTTCTCTTTTGCCTAAAGGATATAGGAAGCTCTTAATGAAGCAAGTAAAAACCGTGCTCTTAAATATTTATTTGACTATATTTTGTTATTTAGATTTTAGTAATAAATCCTCATCTGTAGCATCCATTTGTATTTAAGTATCAATATATACTGTATTCTATCTCAATATAGATTAGTTGGATGGTTTAATTTATAAATATATGCATGAAAGTAAATTTCATTACTTCTCAGGACAGTTAGTGTATTTAACTTTAAGGAAAAATACTTTCTTTTGAAACATTCTTAAAGCTGCATTTACCGTCTCCAAGAGCTGGCTAAATGGTTACAAGGGGAAATATGCCAGAAGCAATTAGCATAAGCTATAACTCCATATGATGCATTAGAATTTTGTTTTATGTGAAACAGTTTCCAGTCTATGATAAGCAAATGGACATCAGTTCACATAAATTAGCATGCTGATGCCTTTATATCTGAAGAATTTATGGATGATGTCAGTCGCCCAACTGTGTGATTAACTTGAAGTTCTTTGCCTGAGGTTATCTACACACTGGCCTTTACAAACTATAGTACAGGAACTTTGCTACATGTCAGGTGTGCAAGTAGAGATAAGATTTTGGGACGTATTGGTCCATTTACTGATGAATGGCACCACTTAAATTTTTTCCCTAGGCACAGAACTGGGGAAAGAAAGCAGTATCAGAAAACTAACAAAACAGTGGCAGAGTACTGGCATTGAGGTTCTTATGTAATCAAGGCAGGTAGTTCAGCTTTTTTGGCTATTGAATAAATACTGACTTAAAGGTAGCAAACTAAGGCCTGAGTCTAACTTCAATAAGCATCATGGTTTACGGAAACATTTATAAATCAGGAATTTCACACACTTGCAGGATCAACACCAAATTATTCTTTCCATTGTTGGCATTAGTAGGAGTGGCCCTGCAGAGTATGGCTTTGATCCAAGTTTGAATAGCTGTTGTATCAGCAGATCTAGTTTCACAGCCATCATTAAAACCTCCAGGTCTTCAAGACACGTCAGGAAATAGATAATACAAAGCAATAAAAATCACTTCTTTGGCAATATGTGTATTCATGAATAATTTGTGCAGCTTGATTTTTTATAACCCTAATGAAGAGTGAAATGAAAGTACTTACATGTTGCTGGTGATCTAGTCCAATGTTTACCTATTCTGTAAATATGTCTGAGGATGCAGTATGAAAAAAAAAGTAATATTGTCTGTCTTGTTCTAGATTACAGTACCATTTCTGAAGTGTATTTTCTAACATGGCAAGTACTTGGCTTCTTAAAACTTTTGAGGTATAGCTATTTTCCATGGAGTGGGCTTGAAATAAATTGTTTTTTGTCACAGTAATATGAGGAGAACTCTCTCAGCCTCCACCTGTCAGTTCCTTTCAATCAAAAAGGAAGTGACAAGTCCAGGACCTGGCCATTTTCTCAAGCGTCAAAATGTTTTGA